TGCAAGTTAAGATGACTTATTCTAACCAGTAATCAAACAATGGAACATAACAGACTATTTAGTGCATTGAATACTTTGACTGACTCAAAAAGAATGAATCTGAGAAAATATGACAAGTCAATTCTAAATGTGACAAAGTGAGAATTTTGAAATTTTAAAAGTGACAAAAGCGACCTCACTGCCACTTCTTGGGGAGCCCTCACCAGTGCACCTACATGAGAATCTGAACCAATTTGAAAATGGGAAAATCAGGAAAAATTTGTATATATTTTGACCAACTTTAATGAAAACAGTTATTTCACTCAAGTGATCTTCCCAGTTTTTTTCAACGGGTTGCTGAATCATATTAATTTTCTTGTTTTGTTCCAAATATTTCAATATTCCATCGTTTGGACTGTGTTCAAACTAGAGGTGTAACTCGCCAGAAAAATCCAACTCGAGTTCAACTTGCCAAATATTTCCAAAACTCGAGTAAAACTCGAGTTCATTCATTTCATCCAGTACATATTGTAAACCCGGGTATACAAAATTACTGTAACTTCAAGCGGCAAGTTTCTCTGGTTTAGTCTCATCTAAAAGGTGTTTAACAGGTTGGGGCCATAAGAAAGTGTGGTATTCATTGCAGTTATCTCATATTTCAATCAAAAACGATCTGGTATAGACGTCGCCACATACTGTAAGGACAAGAGAAAATTTGGGCTTGTTTTACTGTACATCTATATTTGTAAAAAGTTTCGATATGCATTTTTAATGGCCATTTTTGTACTTCAAATTCTAATAAGAAATTTGTTTTCAGATAACACTGAATATTGAAACATTACTCAGTTTCAATGGGATTTGATCACTTGGCTAAAGCTGAGTATGTAGTAAATAAAAGCCTGACGCCCAATCAAAGTTGTGGTGACCAACAAGTTTGAGCCCAAGAGGTAATTAACTTTCTGTTTACAAGAACTTATGGTGGAATTCGAAAAAACTCACTCACTGACCAGAATTATTTTCTTTTGCTCTAAAAATGCAACAAAAAAGTCATAACACATGCCAAACCTTACAATTCTTAAAATGGTTTAACCGAAGAGATTTTTAGATAACCCACTCTATGTCGTACTTGCCAATAAACAGATTACTAATTTGTAAGGGTATTGGTTAGATAGAAAGGCATTGTGTTCAATAAAGAGACCAATAGAACAATACAAATTTTCCTAGCAGGCTATTATCCATTGCTGGGTGTATCATAAATTATAGAGAATATTCTCTCTATCTTCCTTATATGTTACCTGGCAACAGTGTTATAATATACTTACAGTAAATTAAGATGACAAACTGATATTAAAACAAGGCAAATAATTATTAAATATCTCAAGCCATCCAAGCATATAAACCTCTAGCAAAGACCCGATCAACTGCAAATGAAATATATCAATTAATGCATGGTTTGATATTATCATAAATTACAGTTTTGTAAAGATATAGAGATTATTTAATGGGAGGGATGGAATATGAATTTTATTTTGAGGGACAATACGATATTGATCAAGGAAAATATCATATTGACCGAGACTGACAGCCCGAGTGTAAATATGATATTTTCCGAGGCCAATATCATATTTTCTTGAGGAAAAATTCATATTCCATCACGACCATCAATAACCTATTTATTCCATAATATTTTTCTGAAACTAGTTTTTATGTCGTCACCCAATGATGGTGGCATTAAATGATACAATCTAATTCATCGAATGACATTTTCAACTTTTATTAACAAATTTTTAAATAAAAATAATTTATAATACTAATATGGATAATAATATTCCATAATAACACGATATTAAGTCTCATGAAATTTTCTGATAGTTCTGATACGGGTTCTGATACAGGATTTTGGCTGATACCGGATCTAATACGGGATCTGATATGGGATTTTGGCTGAAACATTTAAATGAATAGCATATTTTAATAGGCTCACACAGTGAGTATATTCTGAAAAATATGATATTTTATTAACAAAAAAGCTGACTTCACAAGGATAAGCCAAAAGTAGGATGAGCCAGGACCAATGGTATATATTACCAGTATAGAAAAGTAGGATGAGCCAGGACCATGGTATATATTACCAGTATAGACCTCAATAAATTGAATATGAGCATTAGTTTAGACAGATAGACAGACAGATGTGAGCCAAAAATTAATAATACCATATTTCAACGGTTTCAGTTGTTATCTCCTGGTATTACTTCCTACATGCATTGGTAGCTAGTAGCATAAGTAGCTACATATTTTATATTATAACTTTGATTTGAACCAGAGAAAGAAGAGAAGAACATTTTGAAAAACTGAATTCATTCTCAGTGTTTTGAAGAGTACAGAGGCAAATAACATCAGACCCTCGTAATTGCTCGTTTATTTTGATGAACACTTTTTGATTGATGAAATAAAATACAGCATACTTGAGAAATTACATTTCAATTATATCTAATTATTAATTAATATGTCTTCAATAATTTCAAAATATTCGCATGTCTGTTTCAACATGATAAACAGTATAAAAGCTAGGAAACAAAATAAACAGGGTTACCAATGAGAGACACCATATTTCATAACAAGGGAAGAGAATGCATATAAAAACCTTTGCGAGTGATATTAAATAAGTTGAAAAGTGATGAAAATAAATATTATTGTAATGTATCAAATGTATCAATAATGACACATTTTATAAATGAATATGTTTTTTTGTTAATTTTTTTGTGCTGTTAAAATGTCCAATAATGGGCCTCGTGCGATAATAATATATTTGTTATCAAATGTATCAATAATGACCAAAATAAATAAACATATGTCATATTTTATAAATGAATATGTTTTTTTGTTAATTTTTCTTGCTGTTAATCAGTTAAAATGTCCGATAATGGGCCTCGTACGAGCTCGTACGGGGCTCAAAATTACGAGCCTTGTACATACTTGTATGGGCCTCGCAAACTATAATTACAAGCTCAAGCTCATACAAGCCTTGAAAAACGAGCCCCATACGAGGATTGTGCTCCTTTTTGACCGTAATGACTCGTAATTCTCGAGGCTCGTACAAGCTCGCACAGGGCCCGATGAAATTTGCCTGTGTATGAGACTTGAATGAATATCAAAGTTGAAAGCCCATGGACATAGTAATGAGAGATAGCAGAATTTTCTTTTTTGGGGGGAGTATGTGATACACACCATTTTTTCACGTAATAATCATTCAAAACTTTGCTTCTTCTATCATATATGAAAAAATTATCATTCGAGTGGCTCAGGTAAAAAATTGGTGAGATGGATACCGCAACACAAAATACCTTCATCCCCTGCCCTGGTTACAATAAATTTAAATACAATTATGATAGTGTCATTTTCTGGTCTTTAGCCATTCATATTTAATTTTGAGTCAAATTTTAATCTGATAATACCGATCATAAGGATATCATTTCTATGGGAGCATATGTTAATTCAGTATCGAGTTCAGTCATTTAATACCAGAGAATATTCAGACTTATTGATAAATTCTCGAAGTGAATTAAGAGTAAAGTTAACATGACATTTAATAGAAAGACAATGAGAGAACATGTAATGACATTGAAGTGCTTAGTTAATGGGATAAACGGGATAATTGAATAGAAATAAATTCCAGCCCATATACATCCTGGCATTATTTACCATATGTGACATATATTAAAGAGCTCATCAAAAAGCATCACTAAAATAATATTGATTATCTCGGACACCAACTATGTCTATATACTTTAAACCTGCACATCGCTCCAAAACGCAATATGTTGACATATATTGTTTTTACATTTTCAAACTCTAATATTTTATGTAATTAAAAATTGTTTTTTTCTATGAATATCAAAGAACAATCATTTAGTTAAAAAAATAAAAAGGTGAATGCGGGATTCGAACCCGGGCCTCCCGCGTGCTCGGCGAGGATTCTACCGCTACACCACCGTATTATTATGGATGGTGGAAGTAATTAAACGCTTCGGAAGTGACGTCACGTTCTTCATTTAGAAACCTTTCCAAAATCATATCGCCGGCTCCGATCGAAGCAAATTCAATGAAAAATCTTTGAAATGACACATTTATCGTAAGTATTTATACACAAGATTTGCCCCATTTGTTCATCATTCTATAATCTTTCATAAGCTCAAAATGATAAAGTTCACCCCTGAAACAACCCAAGATTGCCTTTCGGAGCGTAGTCCAGCTTTAAGTCTACTAACATATCATTTTAAAAATATACCAGTATAAGACTATGGACGTATGATGGAGTCAATGGTATATGACCATGATATACAAGGCAATGCAAAATGTCACCACCTGCCATTTGTTACAGATGCTAAACTCCGAACACCAACCACTTAGTTAGAGATGACATATGTCCATGAAAATGGTTATATATGTTGGACATGACATAAAATACCATGGTGTAACATGTGATTGCTGATTATGGTCAGGTCAACAGTCTATTATCAACCGATTTTCCAATAAAATTACCACCATTACACAGGTATTAATATTATCAAATGCCATCAAAAACGATGAATTTATATCATCATTATATTGCAATACCATAGAGCCCTGTAGTTTATCATAGTTAAAGCCAATAGCATCATAAGATAATCTTTATTTTCATTGTCATTCCCTTGGGATTAGTTACCCAGATCTACGATGAACATGCTGCAGCGCTATCATAGCCATATGTAGGCCATACATTACCATACGTAGTAAATGTAACACCATTCATCCTCTGAACAGAGCTCCAGACATCAGCTCTGAGAAGGAACATAGAGTGAAAAATGTCTGGAGCCATGTATTCGAGGATATCTCAGTTCGTCAGATCATGGGCTTTCAAGGTGGTGAAACTCAAATAAATAACTTGCATTAGCATGGAGCTGAAGAAGTGAAGTTCCATATCTATGTGTACGATGGTGATTCTTTTACATCATAATGCAGTTACACTTTAAATTTCCTACCTTAGGCTCTATATTTTTGGAGTCTATGGAGACTGCTTCTGTCTCTTTCACCATCTTAACAGTGGGTTCTCGCTCGTTATCCCTTGTCCCAATGGGCGAGACACGTATTTGCTGTATTGGCATTGTGTCTCCCGACTCCTCATCTGATAATGGCATAAGGGACCACGAATCCAAAAGGCACTTGAATTGATCCAGTGTAAACTCAATAAAATATTGCCATTTTACCCTTGAGTCAACATCAACCTGATTATTTATGGAGGTTGGCTGTCATTTTGGTCAATGTCAAATTCAGCAGTATTGTTCTCTCTCTTGTAATACATCCTGCGTTGCCATAACGGGACCTGAAGATTGACAACGCGCTAGATTACTAGACGATTAACAGCTATATATCATTATGTTACCACATAGATTTGTTGAATGTCGCAGAGAGTGATAATTATGTGGGATTTTTCTCACCTGTGTTTCCAATATTGTTCTTCTGATACGTCCTGACACCTAGCGGATGAAAACAGAACTGATAAAGACCCCTTACAACAGCTATGATTTTTAAAGGTTTGTAAGAACCCCCTCATATACATCATATTATTAGTTCATTTTACTATTTTAGGAGACCCAGAGGATAGTAAAATTTTATAATGGAGTTAGTGGGTACTGTGGAGAGATGGGGGTTCAGGTAAGGGGGGGGGGGGCAGTAGCACAATTAATGCAGTACAATAAAATAACTTCTTATTGAGCTAATCATCTGACCCAATAAATGTGAGACTTTTGTCTTTTTGGTTATTTTGACATTTGTTCTCAAAATAACAATATCATAGTGAAAGGAGTTTCCAGATTTAAACTTGCATGTATTTAGCATTTTATTCAGTAAGTCTTGATTGAAAAATTTTTGTGAACTCAAGAGGTGTACTGTGGCTTTATTAATTTTGTTAATTGTTTGCTTTGTATTCTTTGATAATATAGAATCCTAATAGGAATACAACAGATAAAGTTTTTTGTTTTTATTTTTTATATTCTTCTTTTCACAAACCACTCTCCAAAGATTTGGCCATTTGTCAGAATGTTAAACATATAATTACTTTGAATAGCCTTATACTATATAAGTTATCCATCCAAGGCAACATTTATGTTGTTTTTACTGACTGGGGATATCAATTATATATCTGCTCGCTACAAGACAAATTTATACCACATTTGATCAATTGAAACAATAAAAATATATCTACTTTTAAAATAATCTCATCTATTTTTATTAAAATATTCAGATATTGAACAATAGCCTCTATGTAACTTTCTGTATCAAAGATTCATATACATGTTTAATCATATTGTGGATATATAAGAAATTGATATATTGTCAATTTCGTAAAACATGTACATTTTTCTTAAAGGAACAAGAAGAGATAGAGATAAGTTGAGAGTAAGTGTAAGTCAAACTTTACACTATTTTTTTGCTCTCACCATTCAAAGTCACATCTATTTTTTAAAAGGTTCAATAATTCTGGCTTCATTTTAGGACAATCCTTTTATTTTTAAAGCTATCAGGCAAAAAATGAAAAGGGAGATGTCCCCCTATTTCCTCAATTTCAATAGATTTGAACTTTTCTGCATGTTAAATGTTCAATAAATTCTATATTTGATCAGATATCTTACACTCTTTATCTCTTCTAGTTCCTTTAACATGTTTAATGCATGCTTCGAAAATTCGCATATGGTCAGAATCATGAATTTTATACGATGTCACAAATGCATTTCTCAGGTATTTCTTTAATCAAAGGATCAAATCAAAAATACTAAATTTATAACAAAACAAAGGACTGGAAATTTAAATCATAATGGATGCAACGGAAGATAACTCAGAACTAATGGTGCCATCTTTTAAACATTACATTGTTAATAAATTCCCAACAAACTGCAATATTGTGTTCACCATAATATTCCATCACATTAAATCAATTCATAATTTGAAAACAGCTATATGACAAATTTTCCAGACTTTTTGGACAGCTCTCGTTTATCAAATCTGCATGGGATTGACATAATAGTAGTACAAATACATGAATCTGAGTACAGTATAACACAATCGTCCACTTTTCATCAGAATATTCATTGTCTGCTTCATCATATTACTAATGCTGTATTTTATCATAAAGATAAAAGAATAAAACCTACTACCCTGAGCAATCAGGTATAACATTATCATCTGATCATTTTACAGTTGATCATTTTACAGTAAAATTAGATCACTCTTCTATCAACAAGGCGTTAACTTGCAAAATGTCACCACCTACACCGGACACTGTCGACAAAATAGTTGAAGACTGTTACAATATGTCACATATGTATATAATCATTGTGCCGACATGGTAGTTTTAAATTTGAATCAAATTTACATTTCTATAATAGTTTTCTTGCATATTGAAATTGTGAACATTTATCATTCTTGATTATCTGCATGCAAGGTATTTTCACAAATTTTGATGTTGATAATGTTTTGATAACTGAATACTGTACTCCCGGTAAATTTCGACGCTATAAAATTTCACGATTTTTCAAAATTGCAGTTTCACGGCTATTTAATTTTGCAGATTTGAGTAATGGCCCAATAAGCCAACTCAAAATAATAGATATTTTAGATTTTTTTCAAATTATCGCCCAACAACACTTGACGATAATATTCATATAAATAAATGAAATATAATCCCAGGTAAATACTAATTTAACAAATTCCCGGGATTTAAAAGAAACATTTCATGATGATAAATGTTTGCGATTGTGAACAAAGTGAAATTAAAACACACGCGAGCAATACCAGGAGTAGCCTACAGTATATTGAATGAGTATTCTTCAAGAGAAATTGATTTAGAGTTCAATTTTTCTGTTTGACTGCCTATCAAGTACTTTTTCCCAGTATTTGTGATATGTGGTAGGATCTTTTTCCTTGGCATCTAGCATGTCCCGTATTGCCAGGGCTTTATCGAGCCCATTCCAGTAATCCTCAATCCATCCCATCTTCATCCAACTGCAAATATAAATATAAATTAATTAATAAACCACTTTGAATATTACAATTGGTTTCTCCAAGTTGATTTGGACACTGAACACAAATGTTCAAAACAATTACGAGATATAGTACATGTAGTATCAGTGTTCGCGTTGACGCCGTTTTTTCTCTTTCTTACGGAAATTTCAAGAGGTCGGACGGGAAAATCAGAAATAACTTACGTCCCTGGGACGCAAAGATTCTACACCACCATCAGGTAACTTTTACTGCAGCGTAGAAGTGATAAAACATGATTTTCTGAAGAATTTTCAAATCGTCTACTTCCTTGATCTCAATAATGTTTATGTCGGCAAATCTGATTGGCTACCGGAGTGTCTCAGTATATTCGCGGGTTTCTAATCTGAAACACAGCATTTGATTGGCTCTAGTGCCCTCCGAGTCATTCCGGAGTATACCGAAGCTGGATAATCTGTTGTACGCAAACATTAGTTTCAAAATTGAGAATTGAGACTTGTTTTTCACGATAATCTTAGTTAAGCTTACTTCCACTAGGAACCGTTAGATACCGATCTAATGTTATACATCAATATAATTATTTAATGATAGATCAACGTTTTTCATCCAAAAGTCGTCAGAGTAAGGATCGAGAAATGTTATAAAAAGAAACAAAAAGTTCACGACCTTGACACGACCTTGAAGATCGGTGGTTGGTAAAATGTGAAAACAACTCTTAATTTGAGTATTTCTTTCATTCATTTCAGAGAATTTTGGTATAACATTAGTAAAGAATTGTGTGAAAAGGACCAAATGATAGATATTTATTGGGAGAATGCGTAAAATTACAATATATGTCACTTTATCCCGTTTTAGCGTAAGCACTCTATTATCGCCCACTTCACTTTCACTTTAATAACAAAATATGAGGGACGCAAAAAAATTAGACGGGACTCACATTTTTAAATGTGTTGCGTCCCTGGGACTCAGAAATTTAAATGGCTAGCGCGAACACTGAGTATTACCTCAATAACCCCCCCCCTCTGAGTTATTAACCATAGCCTACTGAATTTTTGTGATAGACGTTATGGTTGGTAGCATATAAGCATTATAGAATATAGATACCATGACAGGGTGTCATATTTTATCTTGGCAAGATAGGCAAAGTCTAATCTGATAATATTTGCACATAATAATGTGATATCTTATCAGGCAATGTTTTAACCAGTGAAAAAATATTATCTAAAATCAAAATGTTATTAAGATCTTACGGATCAACATCTTCTTCATAGTCATCTGGATTTCCAATAGATGTATAAGGTTGAGGGCAAGACAAATGTGACGACTCTGCAAAATGAGGCTTGGGAGCTGGGTACGAGGGGTCTTCTTTGTGCTCTGCCTCCTCTGCCATTCGTTCAACCAATTTATCACAAACATGGCACTCGAATGAAGAAAACATAGATTTCTCATTTGCACCAAACTTTTCCCATTTTCTATTTTTCACATCATTCTTCATATACTGATTGGTAATGCCTTTTGTCTTGTACTCTAGATATGTTTCATATGCTGCATCATCACTGTCTAGTTTTTTAATGAATTCTGCGAGATCTTTGGGGGAAGCGAAATCATCTGCCATAATTATTGAGTGGTTATTAGGCATATAATCCTTCGCCAATTGTGAGCCTCTATATATGGGCACAGAGCCCACATGTAGTGACCTATACAACTTCTCGGTCATATAGTCATCACATATGGCATTTTCAAATGCTAAGTGGAATTTATATGAAGCAATGTGTTTCAAAAATAGATCTGCTTCCATGGATTCTACAGGATCCCTCCACTGGAGTGGAATATCCTTGTTGTGTATACAAGATCCAATAGAATCAACATCAATGTGGTTCATAAGTTCTAACACATATCTATCACGATCTGATGAAATATCACAATGAGATGCAATGTAAACTATTGGTGCAAGGTCATCTTTTGCTTTTAAGGCATTTTTAATGTCAGTTGGCACAGGTTGTTTCTCAGTGAGATAATCTAAGGAATAAATGTTCTGACTGGTTAACGGAAAATCAGATTCTCTTCGGAATGTTGCAGTATGGTTGAATTGCCTGAGCAATGGGTAATGGGTTAACATATGATTATTCATAGGTGATTCCTCATGTATAAGGGCCCATTCGTGTTGTGGTAACCTTGGTAATGGAAGGTCTTCGATGGCAAAATCAGTACCATACAAAATGACTCCTCTTGTTTTAGGGTCTTGCAAATGATGTCTATTATTAGTAGTACGACACTGTCCAACACTACACTCAATTGTCGTATAGTCCTGATGTGGAAATAGGCCAGGATACCACCACAATATGAGTGGCTTGTCAAATTTACGAACAGTTGAGGGTAGAGTATTTGGGTCCCGACCCTCATCTAAAATCTCTTGTGCCATACCCCATTTACTTTTTGGTCCAACTCCATCTGGCCATAGAGGTTCCTCTGATTTATTATCGCTCTCTGACTGGATTTCCTCTTTTGTTTTTGGACCAAATTGAACAGCTGCATGGGGAGAGTTTGGGAAATAAGGGTCAGTGTCCAAAGCTTGACTCCATACTATTTGAATTGCACAAATTGTCAAGTAGAAAAATCTAATACACGTTGGGACTGCCATAGTTTCAAAATCCTACTATAATTGCGGTAAATATCCACGTTTATTGAAATCACATCACGATTTCCAGCATGTCCATGTTTACGAATAATCACTTCCGGGTTCATGGGCAACAGGATTGAGGAAAATATATTTAATCAAAAAACGCTTTCAATAATGGTTGATTAATATTAGGTTTTTTGAGTAATGAATGGTTTTTAAAAAACGGTTTCATAATGATTAATGAATTATAGTTTTAAGTACAGAGAAAAGTGGTCAACAAAAATATTTGATGAATCCAAGTGTCGCTTACAGGTTTGACGTGGCATTTGTGCGCATGCGTGTATCCGGGACACTACATCCTGAACGTGGCAAAATTTCTTAAAATTTGTTGATAAAAGTGTGATTTTCTAAGTAATTACATCAATTAAAGGTAAGAAAGTTATCTGAACCATTATTCCAATTTACTTCATCTAATATCTGGTCATTAATAAGACATCCTAGTTTTGAAGAGATCAATAAACGAAGTTGAACTTCTGAAATTTCACAGGAAAAAAAAAGTTCAAAGTTTTGACACGTTTGGTCTACATTTTTTGTAAAAACAAATTGTTCTGGACGCTAAGCTTTTTATCGATTTTAGGTTTGATCAAGTTTATCAGTTCTATATTTTAAAACATTCGTAGGTTTGTGAAGTCTCATCGTGGATTTATTTCCATAACATCTGTTTCAAATGACGACTTGTCACACAGCAAGGAGGATTGGCTCCCAGAATGCAACACCGATATTCTGCAAAACAATCACCTAGCGATAGCTTTGTTGGAGAGTATCGGGTCATTCTCCATGCAGTCGTACAAATTATACAGACACGAATAGCAAATGACGCATGCGTGGAGATTAAAGAATATCGAGTTGGAACCCTGGCTTCCAATCCTCCTTGGTCACACAGTCAATATGCAGTTATGATTTGGGGCAAGCCCAAATCATTAGTCTATCTACCTTCTCTACAAGTTAAAAACCGGAAGAGTACCTTTTTTTTATCGGTCGATTCTCCACGAAGATCCTCGATTCCGCGATTAATCCCTTGCTCTGTGTGACAAAAATAAATAAGTGTTTCTTAGTCATTCGCCATTTCTAGGTCAACAGGAAGTCATGTTAGGCACTGAATAAATCGGGCAATCGAATTGGACAATACGAATGGCGCGAAAAAGTAAAGTTTTTAAAAGTTTGAAATCGGGCGTACGGGTCCGCCGGCAGTTGTGAGAGACATTTTAGTCTCGGCGGACGAGTCCGCCGGCAGCACGCCAAAGGTTAACTTTGACATGTTTCATTAGTCAAGATACACAATTCATATACAAGGTAAACAGATTTTAAAAACATGTGTCTTTATCAAAAAAATATGGCAGTCATTTTTTGTACTTTTTATTTAATATAGCGTCGCCTTAACAACAACTTTGCCGGACTGTTTTTCAACTTCCGGTAGTTGACCTAGAAAATCTGCAATCTGATTGGTTGATTAATTTAGAGGTAAATTCAAAATAAAAACGTACCTGGAACACCTGTAATTTCATAAAAACTATGCCCAGAATATGCAAGAGCTTTAGCATTTTCAGCGTCTACATCAACTTCTAGTCTTATCGCATCCTACGACCCCTTTAGATTGTGGTCGTACGCGTAGACTATATCCTCTAGTCTGAAATTTTTTTGAAATTTGGAATGAAAATATTCAGACTATAGCTCACATATGTTAAAATTTGGGATTGAAAAATATATGTTTACATAGGAAGTGCCATTCTAAATGGCCGACTGGGTAAATTAATTTGCATATTTGTTACTTCCTCTAGCTTTATTTCCATTTGACAATAAGCTGTGTTACTTTTCATAGCATTTATTTGTACCTTACTACTTAATTGAATTGTTATAATGCTTATTTTTGGGAAGGGAAGTTTCCTAAAATTGATAATCGTGTGCATGAAATTTCCTGTTTTTTCCCACAGGAGGGACATAATGATCAATAGACTGAATTCTCAGGAAATTCAGTCTATTGGATATAGAAGTATCGATCACGTGACAAGACGTGATCTCAACGGGACTTAGAATTTTTTAAAACTGTCCGGCTAAATTGTTGTAGGAGTTTTTCAGGTTTCATTCGCTCGTAAGTGCAGCAATTACACAGATTGTATTGTCATAGTATAAATTATAGTTATTTACAATTCACAGCCAATTCCCGGAGAAATTTCTTTACTTTTCAGTGTGTAAACCTCATTATTAAATTTTTTCAAAATTTCCGTTGTTTAACTTGTAGAGAAGGTAGATAGACTAATGATTTGGGCTTGCCCCAAATCATAACTGCATATAGACTGTGGCTTGTCATGCTATCGTCTGAGACTTACTGAACACCGCAGGTAACACAGCGCAATCCTTGAAGGTAGAGAGTTTCTCCATCTAATAGGTTTGACGCAACATTAGGAAAATAATTAAAGAATGTGTCTTATCCTTAGTAATGCGTTTTGTGCTTTATGTTACTCTACCGAGCTGACAGAAGTCAGCTCTGGGAAGTTGGATTGAAAATTCTTGAAGAGAAAAATCGAGCCCATTTTGACTTAACGCTGTGCTGAGTAGTGTTTATAATACCATATATGTTTGGATCAAATATAATTTATTTCCTTATTTTGTTCCTTCAACACTCAAACGTTTGGAACTACTTTGAATTTAAAAAATAAGCAATCAAATGACTATATAACATTGCAACAGTATATAAAAAATATAAAACATAAGTAAGTTCTTTTGTTCTCATATCATGGCAAGTAGGTTTTGGAATCTCCTTGACACAGTGATGAGGGTGTTGGTCTGTGAAAAAAAGTTTATCAAAGTTTGTGATTGTTGCTGAAGAGAAGTAAATTTAAATACTGGTCATATTTTTTAAAAAGTGGATATTGATAGTTCTTTAATCTTTACATACAACAATTCGCATATATATCCCACAAGCAACCACCTGACGAATTTTAGAAATACAATACAATGCAAAAAACAATAGTTTTGTTATCTTAAGCAGAGTATGATAGGCTTGTGTTATCATATGTCAACCATGTAATGTTTCATTATTTCATGACAGTTTGAGAATGAAGTCATAGAGATTAATTGATTAATTTAATCAACATAGTAGTACCATATGCTGCTTCACCCTTTGCCATACTGGTGCAATTATATACTGGTTTTAATGCATGTCTTTGCCTTATAGAAATTGCATTACTCACCAGATCAGGAACTTGCATGATTAAAATTAAAATGATAAACACTAGATCAGAAATACTTATTAATGGTTTTGAAGTAAGGTACCAAGAGTGCAATTTCTACAAATAAAATGTAATTTCTTTTATTGCAGTTTAGTACAAATGTTGATGTAAGATGAGTCAGTTTGGCGGTCAAAATTATAATCAGGGGCCACCTCCGAACCAGTATGGAGCCCCACCTGGTGGCCAAATGATGCCTCCACCTGGCCCCCCTCCTGGAGGGCAAGGACAACCCCCTCCTATGGGTGGACAACCAATGTACAATGGGGTTCAGCACAGACCACCTGGTAAAATTGATTATTTACACTTTCATATTTGAATTAGGGAAGAGGGATGGTGTCTAATCATCAACAGTTGTGGAGTAACAAATGTAATTTTGTAGGAGGGAGGGGGTAAATGATGATTTCGTAAGCAAATAGTGTTGATTTTTTTATGTGCAAGTGAAAGACAAATCAAAATTTCATTAGACGAGGGTGGTCAAACCATGATAACAAAATTAAGTTTGTTCTAATACGACTGTTGATAACTGATGAGATGCTAACATCATCCCTTATATTTACTATTATTGTCTACCCAGTGTAGTTTTATTGTCTGTTTGACCTCAAGATTGAGAATCGTGTAATTTTTTTTAATGTTGAAATATCAGTCATGTTGTCACTGTATAATTATCACTGTTTATGGTAGGATAATATACATATATATATATATGAAATGTCTTGTTCCAGGTGCTGGTCAATATGGTCCCCCACCCCCTGGTCCCCCTGGTAAAGGTGCACCACCACCAGGTCCTCCTACACAGAATGGACCAGCCCAGCCACCTGGACAATTTGGTGGACCTCCGGGGTATGTCATCTACTCAGTTTTCAATGTTTTTTCATCAAACTTGATTTTTCCATCCTTCTCCAATGTCATTGGGTTTTTGAAAAATAGCACATTGATGACTGACATGGTATCATCCTTTTTAATTTTGAATTATCTTTTCAATAGGCCTCCTGGAGCACAAGGATTCCCACCTAGAGGTGCTCCCCAAGGACAGAGACCCCCACCCCCTGGACAGATGAACTCACCCCCTGGGCAAAGACCTCCACCCCCAGGTGCTAATCAATTACCAAATCAGATGAACTCTATGTCTCTATCTGGACCACCATCTGTAAGTTGTAGCAGTGCGTTCTTTTTTATAGATTATATAGAGATATACATGTGTGTTAAACATTTTTGGTATATTGGGTCAGTGTTAGGAACAGTTGTTAAAGGATTTCTTTATCTCTTCTCATTTCTTACATATAAGATATATTTCCATAAATAAACATCACATTAAGTTTAAAAAGTTATTTTTGCATTACAAGTGGTTTACAACTATGTATTTTTGCAGGGTCCTCCAATGGGTGCTCCCCCATCATCCCAGCCTGGACCTTATGGGCCCCCTACATCAATGGGACCCCCTAGTTCACAACCTGGACAATTCAGTCCTCCCACTTCACAACCTGGACAATTTGGAGCCCCTCCCACTTCACAACCTGGACAATTTGGAGCCCCTCCCACTTCACAACCTGGACAATTTGGAGCCCCTCCTACTTCACAACCTGGGCAATTTGGAGCCCCTCCCACTTCACAACCTGGGCAATTTGGAGCCCCTCCCACTTCACAACCTGGGCAATTTGGAGCCCCTCCCACTTCACAACCTGGGCAATTTGGAGCCCCTCCTACTTCACAACCTGGGCAATTTGGAGCTCCTCCCACTTCACAACCTGGGCAATTTGGAGCTCCTCCAACTTCACAACCTGGGCAATTTGGAGCTCCTCCCACTTCACAACCTGGGCAATTTGGAGCTCCTCCCACTTCACAACCTGGACAGTTTGGAGCTCCACCATCATCACAACCTGGTGCTCCTCCCCCAATGGGCCCTCCGGGCTCTCAACCTGGCCAGTTTGGAGGTCCTCCAGCAATGCCCCCAGGCCAGGGAATGCCGCCACCCCAAGGGCAAGGTATGCCACCACCCCCTGGTCCTCAAGGACAATCCAACCAGATGAGAGGTGCACCCCCACCACCAAACTCTATGGGGAACTACACTGGTGCTCCTCCCCAGGCACCTGGCTACCAACAACAGGCCCCTGGGGGGTTCCCTCAACAACCTGGGTTTGGGCAGGCCCCAGCTTCAAGTGGTCCTTCTCAACAACCAAGGAGACTTGACCCCGACCAGATGCCAAGTCCAGTAAGTACACAGTTCTTCTTTCATTCATATTTACTTGGCGGAGAAAAGAATTCGAAATTTCTTCGAGATTAGAAGAGAAATTCAGCTGATAGTTGTATATATTACAGTGGTCTCTCAGTGAAGTGAATGAGTACTAACAAAAAGTTCTGAAGAGAACACAAGTATGCATACAGACATGCTCTATTATAAGAAGAATTGTCTCTCATTAGTTCAGCACTTTCTGCGTCTGAAGAGTGAAACAGTATTATGATCAGTTATATGTATACATTAATGTACATGTATTAGTATGTTGATTTATATCCAGTTTATTGATTTTTAATTTCAATTATCTCTCTTGGTTGTAACATTACTTAAAATCTAACACGATGATTTACTGAAAAATATGACTTCACATCATTGCCTAATATCATTGATCACCAACACATTTACAGTAAATGATCTTCGTGTGAAAACGGATGTGCAGTAAATTATTTATCAGTAAACCATCTTAACATTATATCTCTCTGTAGGGTTTGACAGCAAACCAGATTCCAGGGCCTGTGAGTGTCACCTCTTATATTAATATGGCGTGGCTGGTATTGCATGTGTGGTTGGCTCCTTATGTTTATGAACATAATTTTCATATATATTAGATGATGGAGTAGTTCTTGAACAAATGTTTATTGGTTTAAAACTCATGCTTTATGAACACTGATAACTTATAACTTAGTGTATAATTTGGAAATCTGTATTCTTATTGGTGTAACATAATGAATAACATTCTTTGGGTCAATCGCTTTACAGATACTCCAACTAGAAATTCTACATTACTAGATGGCATACAGAGAAACTCCTTCACTTCACTTCACGTCCTTGACTTCACATCTTTCAATGAAATATTTATCAGAATTTTATAATGTTTTGGGAAAGCTTTCCTAATTATTAGCAAATCAGACTAGTTCTTTTTTTAATCTTATTTACTGTAACAACTACATCCAAATCTAGGGTAGAAATTGGTATTTTGGTGGTGATTAGGTATATGGGTGATGTGATGTTGATAATTGTTGGTGTTTGTCCTTCATAATGTAGTTCTTGGTAAAGGGATCTGTTAATGAGGTTAGGGCATATGTAACCCAGAGTTTTTAACGATTAAATTGTATTATTATGTAAAATACCAAATAACAGTACAATTTAATTGTACACAACTATTCAATTTTGTATACAATATCTCAGCATTGTATGGTGACCTTTGAAATTTGGAATTTTCAGATTCATTTTGACAAAATGCTCACCCGTTGATAATAATAAACTCACTGTAGTATTTAACATGATACACAAAATGAACCATTATATAACATCATAATATAAGCTCCATCACCCTGGAATACAGTAATAGCAAAATAGAGACACGTGAGAAAAAATTATTTTGATAAAGCAATCTACATACGAGGGATGGTCCAAAAGTCTTGGACGCCCTACTCTAATTTTGCTAGTTTTTGATAAAATTACTTTAAACTTTCCAGTAATAAAGACCGACAGCCTAACTACTAATTTGTGTTAATTTCATGGAGAAATTATATATTTGATGTAGTTTTCTAGATAGTTTTTAATATAGGGACCCTGCCACCCGGAACGGTATTCGCACATGACAACTTTTAGCCCTAAATGTTCCTACCATTTCACTTGTTTCGCAAGTCTTGACTACTATCTTTCTTTGAATTTTGAATGTTAAACCATGTTAGTTTACTTCCTTTGTTATAAGGCAATCAATTAATTGTGTTTTAATTATCATGTCATACATCATGACAATGGCTGTATATGTTTAATTCTAAGAAAATGACATCAGACAAGCAACCCTCATTTTGGTATCATTTTTGCTCAAAGATGGCTGCTGAAATGGAGAACAGGATAGAAATCAAAGTTGAACAAAGTATACTACGAGATATTTTCACTATTATTGACCATGAACAGCTACCATATGCACCATACAGTCTTATGGCTCTGTTTGATTTTCTTCCTTTTCTCCAAGTTGAAAGAAGGTTTGAAAGAAAACGTTTTTTACTCATTGGATGAGGTTTAGAGTGGCACCCCAGCAGCATTTGTATCACATAAGCAATGGTGGTTTCATAAACGTCTTCCATTCTTTGGTAAAGTGGTATGAAAAGTGTGTTCAAATTCATGGAAAATTTGTGGAAAAGCAGGTCTTAATATGTGAAAATGATGATGGCAGATGACACTCAGATTGAAAATTGGAAATTCTCTCATATCATGACTGGTGTTAGGTTGTGCACCTGCACCTAAAGTATTTGCCATATTATAACAGTTGTGATGTGATTTGCTTTATTCAAATACCGTTCCGGGTGGCCGCGACCGGGTATTAAAAACTATTTAGAAAAGTAGCTAAAATATATTATTTTCTGTTGAAACTTATACACACAATTGTTAAGATGTTGATCTTTATTATCTGAAAGTTTCATGTAATTATATTAGAAAATAGCAAAGTTAGAGCGGGCGTCCAAGACTTTTGGATCACCCCTCGTATATCTGTTATTTCTGTAAACTCATCATGGGCTAATTAATGAATTCTCTCCTCATGAATCACCATTGCTTCCCATACATCGAATTGAATAGTAAACCCTGTCTAAGTGGAACGACTTTGGTTAGAGCTGGCATCAAATGTCGGAATGGTCGATTGTCAGTCGAATGCTCTCTGCGACACCCATGTCGACACAACGCCTCTTGATCGACAGTCGGAACTCACAACATAATAAGCTACTTCCCTATGAATTAAAATCTGTATACTACCTGCTGTATGGTGTATTTTAGTGAAGTTTTACCGCTTACATTTTCAAATTTTCTTTTTTGTTTTGATCGACTTCCTGCTCTCGAATTAGGTCTCGGGGCCCCTCGAGATTTACCCTCAAGATTTATTTTCAATGGCTGCCCGGAAATAACAACAGAAATCGTGGTTTTATGTCTATTTATTGCTTTTTCGTCAAAGTCTGATACTTGAACATGGTTTACCTGTAAGTTAAATATAAAACATACAACTGAGGATGTCTATTGTGCATCGTATTGCTAATTACAAGCCTAGAAAATCTAAAATTCAGACGGATTTTCTTCAATTTTTTTTTCATTTTTCGAATATCATTGGACCCGACAATGTCAATATCGTTGTCGATCGAGAGCTCCGACATGTCAACATTAAAATCTTATTCGATGCCAGCTCTACCTTTGGTACATCAAGTGTTTCACTTTGGAGGTGGTCCACTTACAGAGGTTCATTTAACATTAGTTCAGTTGTTGTTTGGAACCATGAAAAGTGTTCTACTAACAGAGATGTTCCATTTCTAGAGGTGTTCCACTTTACAGGTTTCACTGTATTTACACACACACTATTTTCCCTATTCTACATTAATCCCATTTCATATTTTATTTCATTGGCATGTTTTATAACATCATCGCTTATGCAAGTACAAGTGTTCAACTCACGTTTATAATCATAGTACATTGCATCTGACTTGTTACTACATTTCTCGCTAATTGAATGCATGAGACTCAACTAATCATTAACATCCTTGAATTCTCTTGATTGCAATGGAATCTGGCTTGCTCAAAAATTTGTGAATGACAATGATGCATAATATATATTAAATCTGTTTTATTTCATTCAGATCCAAGTTATTGAAGATGATAGAAAGAACAGGACTGGGATGTTTCCTACTGGTGTACGTGGGACAGTACCTCCTTTGGTCACTACTGACTTTACAGTACAAGATCAAGGTATGTTTTTCCAGGTGTATGTGGGATTGTACCTCCTTTGCTCAATACATGCACTGACACTACAGTACATGAAATTAAACAATTCTGTGTATATCAAGGTAATATCATAAATTCAGTCGAATTCTGGGCAGCATAAGGTCATAAAATGCAATGGTGTCAAACTTTTCCACAAAAGTCCTAAAATAGGGAAAGTTCCTGTCTGTAATCTAAAAAAGACTGAAAAGACTTGATTGCAACTAGCAAATAATAAACCTATCACTTTACCAAAAAATTAAATGAATAATTATAACATTTTTACAGGTAATTGCAGTCCAAGATTTATCAGGTCAACTATGTACAACATCCCCTGTACACAAGATATGTTGAAGCAGTCTCACATCCCCATTGGATTGTCTATCAGCCCTCTGGCACGCTTGCATGATGATGAGGTAAGGCTTAAAGGAATATTCCTTGCCAGACCCTTTGTCTCTTGATATGGTAGCTATAATCATATATATAGTTTCCATATTTAGCAAAAAATGGGAAAATGTTTTAATATGGTCAATATTGATCATTTAAAAATCGAGTGCTTATTTCCAGTGAGCTGCCATCTTTTAAGATTTCTTGCAGGAAGTGATGTCATCAACTCTCAACTTCTATAACCTTGCCCATAACAGTATAGTAAAGTAGCACAAAATCACTTCTAGACAAGTGATCATTACTTCCTGTGCAAAAATATTTTCAGGGCTTGTCAACTTAGAATAAAAGAAGAGATTTTCAGAAGGATTAAATAAGATACAAAGTTGGAAAAGAATATTTAGCTGGTTTTGTAATTCTTAATAGCTCCTCACCTAATGCTATATGCAAAGTTGAGAGTCGATGACATCATTTCCTGTGTGAAGTTTTAAAAGATGGCAGCTTACTGGAACTGAGCATCACATTTCTAAGTGATCAAATTTGACCATATCAAAACATTTTTGCGTGTTTTGCTAAACATGGCAAGCATATATATGGTTATAGCTACCATATGAGGAGAGAGATGGTTTGGCAAGGAATATTCCTTTAATAGACATCAATGATACTCTATTCAATACTCTATTCCTCTGGGGATGTATATACCAAATTTTATTGCAATTGAATGAATATAAGATGCTGCCTCTAAATTTTCTCACTAATTAATGATACCCTCTCGTATTTTCAGAAAATTTAGACATTTGTATGTCATCGTAAAGATATTTTTACAATTTTTGTCACAAGTCTTTCAGAGCTTGGCATACTCATTTTCTGTATATGTTTCTTTAAAATCAATACATCATCCTGTTAAATATGAAACTAAACATTATGCCATACACTGAGATTTCTCCAATGTTCTTCAATGTTGTTCAATTGTAATATTTCAGCAACAACCTCCAATCGTAGACTTGGGTGAGTTAGGCCCAGTACGTTGTAATAGGTGTAAGGCCTACATGTGCCCACAGATGACATTCATTGATGGAGGACGCAGATTCCAATGTGCATTTTGTAGCTGTTCAACTGAAGGTGCGTACCCAAAGTTGGGATTCCCTAAAATCTTAGTGTCAAAGGTAGCTTTCATAGAATTTGAATGAAAGTAAATGTCAGCTACATTTAGTACATTTAGACAGAAAGTATAGGGTGGTGATGTTCAAATTACATGGACTAATATGTATTTAGGCTAAATTATCGAAATATTTCTTATATAGAGAAAATGCATGAAATATGAAGCTCTTGGAAAGATGCATCATTTTGGTATAAGGATCTTCAACCTTTAAACATATATATTAAAATATGTATCAAATACCATCTGAAGCAATATTTAGGCAGATAAGAAATCTTACACTGGGGATATCCCTATTTAGACTAATTTAAGATCTTCATTGAAGAGACAACAGAATTTCAGCAGAATCTTGCCAAAATTGAGTTAGAACTGAAGTAAAACTGTTGCGTATTATTTCAGTGCCACCTGAATACTTCGCTCATCTGGACCACACTGGGAAACGTACAGATTGTTTTGACAGGGCAGAACTTTGTCTCGGCTCCTATGAGATGGTGGCCACCAAAGATTATTGTAAGGTATGCAAAAATAGGTAGTCACATCTTATGAAGTGAACACTATTTAGTTCACCTTTTTATATGTTTAACAGGTGAAAATATGTATCATGATTAACTTAACTTTGGATTTTTGAAATTTTTAATTATTCAACTTGTATCCGAAGCATTAAGAAAAATATAACACAAACCATGCCAACTGTAATTAAATGCATTCACTATTCATCAGAAAAAGTAACACTGGCATGTTTTTCAATTTTAGAATGGAGAATGGCCTAAGCCACCTGCATTTATCTTTATGATAGATGTGTCATATAATGCAGTAAAGAATGGCCTTGTGCAGCTGCTTTGCAGTAGACTCAAGCAAGATGTTCTTGTCAATTTACCAAAGTAGGTTATTTATTGATAAAAGTAAAATATAGAATGATAACATTAACCAGGTGTATCAGAAAGGAGTTAATGCATACAACAAACTCCATCTCCCTCTCTCATTGAATTTTTGAAATATCATACATTTTTGTTCATTTTGGCAACTTTTATTGTGGTTGCAGTTTTAAAAAGGCCTTAATCTTGCATTCTCTCTGAGAAAACACTAAAAACACACTCCCTCTTATGAAAAATATGCAGCGACTTGTACCATTTATATTAATGCAATTTGAAAGAAGTGCTGTAGTTAGGACATGTTAAGAAAACCAATTCATTTGATACTGTTGCAATTTTGAATTCCTTTATTTTCAGAGAAGCGGGTGCCTCAGAATCTGAAATTCGAGTGGGATTTGTAACATATAGCAATGTGCTTCACTTCTATAATGTGAAGGGCTGCTTAGCACAACCACAAATGATGGTGGTGTCAGATGTCCAGGATGTGTTCTTGCCCCTATTAGATGGTTTCCTTGTAAAACTCTCTGAGGCGGAAGCTGTGATTGACAGGTATGTGAGACCCATTAGCCAAATTATAAATTCCTTTTCTCAGTACTATTTTTCTTCAGATAATGATCGTTTTTTAAATCATAGATAGTATGAAAATAGGCCCACAAAGATGTATGCCACGGTAATGAAATGCATAACCTAATTTATATTCATTCCCATTTCAGTCTATTAGAACAAATCCCTCAGATGTTTGCAGAAAGTCGAGAAACTGAGATAGTCCTTGGGCCAGTTATTCAAGCAGGTCTTGATGCTCTGAAATCTGCCGACTGCGCTGGAAAACTGTTCATATTTCATTCATCGTTACCAATAGGAGAGGCCCCTGGGAAATTAAAGAATCGTGATGATAGAAAATTACTTGGAAGTGAGAAAGAAAAAGTAAGAATTAGAATTCAACATTTTGTAAATATTTACTTTCGGGACATGATGCATAAAATCAAAATCACAACAGTAACAGGGAAATATTTTTATTCCACTTTAAAATGCTATGATAATTAATTGCCTTGTTTGGAAACTTTTTGTAATTATTGGGCCACAATTTGTATAAATATGAAAAAAGGGAAAAGTTATGCCATGTTTACAAATTGCAGGGTTATCTCCAAAAAATGTTAGACTCCACGAAAAATTTCATGCCATCAATTCTTGTACATTTCATGTTCATGTATGTCTACTTAATGTGTTGAGAATCATGAAATCTGTGTATAGTCTACAGCAAAACCTCTAAATCTATTCCAGACTCTACTAGGCCCACAGTCAAACTTCTACACAAAACTTGGCCAGGACTGTGTAGCTGCAGGGTGTGGAGTAGATATTTTCCTCTTCCCCAACTCATACACAGATATAGCCACCATTGGTGAAGTCTGTCGCCTGACAGGTGGACAGATGTTCAAATATACATACTTTCAGGTAACGAGTTCTCTTACTTTGGGTCAATGAAATCCTCCTCAAGAATTCTCAGTATTAATTTTTTTTATTCACAAATACAACGATTTACAATGGGCCTAATTAATATTAATTTTAGATACAAACGTCCATCTTGTGATATTTTTCACTAAGTAATTTGATCTTGTGATTAACTTGGATAAATACTTATTGAAGCGGATGGTTTACAATCAAATTGTTCTTCATACAAGTTTCATTAGTTTGTCTACTTATAAGCATTCCTTTTTCCTGCCACATTATGTTTGTGCATTGATTGAATAAATAATTAAATCAAATATTGAATCTTAAGATTTTGTGATTTTCAGGCTGATCTTGATGGGTCACGTTTTATTGAGGATCTACAGAGAAACATTAGTCGACCAATCGCATTTGATGCGATCATGAGAGTCAGAACCAGCACAGGTTTGTATTAGGTGTTTATTATTTGCAGTAATTGTACAGACAGATTGTTATTGTAAACAAATGCTGATTAAAATATGTGACTTAAATTGTTGAGAGACTTTAATACTGTAGTCTTTTAATCAAAAATTTTGTTACTTTTACTTTACTATTGTAGTTAATTACTATTACCATATACAATTGTACATCTGTTGTAATATTACTTTGATGAATTCAGGAATCAGGCCAACAGATTTCCTTGGTAACTTCTACATGTCAAACACCACGGATATAGAGCTAGCCGTGATAGACTGTGATAAAGCTGTGAGTTTGGAAATAAAACATGATGATAAATTACAAGAATCCGAAGGTGCTTTTATACAAGTAAGTTTAGTTTGTGACTTCTGGTTTCAAGCCATCTTTCTGTACCTCAGTCTATCAACAGCAGTGATTTTTAATCAATAGAAACCTAAAATAGACTCCTAAAAAATAAAAACCTATGACTCCTGAGTTCAAAGGCTTGCCAATTTTGAATATTGGCCCCCATTTTGTAGGTGAATGTTCACTTTTTGAGCAATTATGCTAAGATATGAAAATATAATTGCAACACACTGTAATTTTAATTGAAGTTATAAATGTAGATTTGGACAAAAATGTACTGACTTCTGTGCAATTTCAAACAAATTCTTTTACAAAACCCCAATGATCAGTCACACAATGTCATGTTATTTTCTTTATGAACTTATGTCCTATTTATTGTCTACCTCTTCCAGACATATGTGTACAATTACTGGGAAAAATTGAATAAAATTGATGTTCTGTTTAATTGATTATTATAGGCAGCCATATTATATACCACCATCAGTGGTCAGAGAAGGTTGCTGATACACAATTTAGCATTGAGCTGTTGTACACAGTTTGCAGACCTCTTTAGGAACTGTGAACTAGATGTCACAATTAACTGTATGGCAAAATTAGGTTTGTAATAATACATATTTTATAGTTCTGAAATCAAGGTCATATCGATAAGCTATTAAACAACAATCATATATCTCTTCTGTGACATGAGCCTGGCTCATTGACCCAATCTAGGTCAACTGATTTTTACAATGGATATCTGTAATTGTGTAATACTGAAATCTTTACCTGGTGCCTCCAATTTCCGTGCAGAACATTAATTGTTTAATCTTTACATCTTTCCATGTTTTTTAGCTATAAGAAACACACTGACCAGTAACCCTAAGGCTATTAGAGAGCACTTGATGGATCAATGTGCCAATATCCTTGCATGCTACAGGAAGAATTGTGCTAGTCCCTCATCAGCCGGTCAACTCATTTTGCCAGAGTGTATGAAGCTGCTACCAGTCTACACAAATTGTATTATAAAAAGTGATGCTTTTCAAGGAGGTATGCCTATGTTTCATTTCATTTCTTATTCTGTATTATATTTTTGTGATCAGTTTCATTGTGATTAGGATTTAGGTGCTGCAGCCAGACATTTTGTAATGGCTGAAAAATTTAGAACATTTTTTGCAAAAATATACAGTTTGTCTTGGCCGCTACCACGCTTGTATAACAAAGATATACAACTAAGGTACAAGTAATATAAGAGTTTTGGTTGGATTTTTAACCTATTCTCAAAATTCTATTTCGATGCATCAGTTAGAAAAAAAAGTTGCCTGTAGCTACACTTGTGTTGTTCCAATACAATTCAAGGTGACGAAAACAGGCATATAGTGATACAGTAGTACCGGATATAGGATAGCCTTTGTTAGGCTATTCTTCAACTACAATACTGGCACAGTTAAAGTATATATCTATAGCATTTAGCAGTATATAGTATGTCTAAACATATTCATGAATTCAATATGTAACTATGGGTCATCAACTAAAATTTTGTTAAGTTAGAATTAAGAATTCCATATATCAGTTGTTGTAACCATGGATATAATAACGTCATAGTTTACATGACATATTTTCAAAAATGGCTCGCATATTAAGAAAACTTTTAATGTGAACACCTGCTAATCCTAACATTTTTTTGTTGGTAGTGTCCAGATGAGACACACATAATAACAGGTTTTGCTGTACTATTATAATTTTGACCAATTTCAAGTGTCACAATAGTCAAAAGTGTTCAGATCGGCATGTGTTGACTTTTTGAGTTTTTACATGGAATTCCTATGGCAGATTAATGGAGAGAGTTCAAATTAAAGAGGGCTTCAAATATACAGGTTTTATTTTATTTTAGAATGTAGGCTTTATCTTTAAATTTTCTTTTACCCTGTGTTATAAACAACATTTTTATTTGAACAGTAAAGTTGTACTAGTGTGAATGTTATAAGAATGATTCATGTAAATTATATGAGTACTAAAGAGGAGGGGAAACCCCAGAGCTCAGAGATAACGTCAAGATTACCTCTCTTGCTTATGACTGTAGTTACTAATATTGGTAAACATGCCAGAAATTAAAATCATATTGTTCTAAATATTTGTACAAAATTTTGAATTCACCATTTTTTGCTCATATGTCATTTGACTTATCAGCGATGAGGGTCAACTCTATATAAATTTCCATTGAAGTTGAGGTCATCCTTGAATTCTGGGTATCCCCTCTTAAGATAAGTATGAAAGTTGCCTGTAGCTACACTTGTGTTGTTCCAATACAATTCAAGGTGACGAAAACAGGCATATAGTGATACAGTAGTACCGGATATAGGATAGCCTTTGTTGGGCTATTCTTCAACTACAATACTGGCACAGTTAAAGTATATCTATATGCATGCAGCATTGTAGTACTTCTAAACATAATCATACATTCAATCTGTAGATCATTAACAGAAACTTTGTAGAGTGAAAAATTCCTAAATTACTTTTTGAATATTGTCATGTAAGAAAACGTTGAACTTTTTGGAGTTCTTAACTTTTACAAAGTTCTTAACTTTTACAAAGTTTCTTTTAATGACCCCTTTAATATTGGTTCCTTTAATATTCCAATACATTTTCAGAAATGAATTTAAAAACAAAAACATCAAAACTTGTATACCAACACTTGTTCTCAGTCCCAATTTTGTTATCCCCTTTTGACTCGCATATTAAGAAACTGAAATGTGAATACTTGCTAATCTTACACTTTTTGCTGGTGATACTATTACTATTATAATATTGACCAATTTGAAATGTCACAACAGCCAAGCATGTTCATTTTGACTTTTTTACATGGAATTCTCAGGTGGAACCCAAAAATTCATTTTAAGAGTATTCAGATTAAGTTTTACTATGTAGGCTTTATGTTTTAAACTTTCTTTTACTATACCCTACATTACAAACAAAATTTTTATTTGGCTAGTACTAAGTTTTACTAATGGGAATTTTATGGAAATGACTCATATTAAATATATATGAGGTAAGTAAGAGGAGGGAAACCCCCAGAGCTTGGAGATCACCTCGTAATCACCTCTCTTGCTTTCTACCTTCGTCCGAATTTCCACCATCTAGTTTATGAATATCACTTGTGGATGTGATGTTTTAATCCATGTAAACATTCCTTACATCTTTCTTAACTTGACATGAAGTAACATGCTATAATATTGGTTAACATGTTAGAAATTAACATATTATTTAAAGCATTTTTACAAAATTTTGAATACCCCATTTTGTTTTTGTTAGTTCCTATGTTCTTTGACCAATCAGCAATGAGGAGCAATGCTCTTTAAATTTCCATTGAAGTGGGTCATCTTTGATTTATCTGGGTTCCCCCCTCTTAAGATAAGTATAAAAGTTGCCTGTAGCTACACTTGTGTTGTTCTAATACAATACAAGGTGACGAAAACAGGCATATAGTGATACAGTAGTACCGGATATAGGATAGCCTTTGTTGGACTATTCTTCAACTACAATACTGGCACAACTATACCTTTTCTATAGCTTATATTTTGAAAGATGCCATTGATACATGATGATAACTTTCACTGTATCAGCGAATACAGCCCTGTTTCCCTCAAAACTATTATAGTGTGATACTACTGAGTGTTAACCCTGCACCCTATGAATTACTCAACATAAGAGCTCAGTAGAAAAGAGTTTATTTCACATTGAAACTTTCTTGAAAGGCCAAGGAGATACATTTTGTTATAGTATGTTTTGTGGACAGTGTTCAACTGTTGGTTTTCAATGTTTCTCGTCTGTAACAAATGGAATGTGGTGACATTTTACATGCTAATGTCTTGTTTTGCTTGTAGATCATTGTGATCTTAACAACTTCAGAATTATTGAATATTATGTGATGGTTAGATGTTAGAGCATAGTATAACAGTAGGTAATTGGAATATAGGGTACTTATAACTTGGTTCTACTTCTACTTGTAGGTGGAGAGGTATCAACAGATGATAGAAGTTTCCTGATGTTACTAGTGAACTCAATGGATGTGGAATCAACCTGTGTATTCTTCTACCCAAGACTCTTACCATTGGTAAGTGGAAGCTTTTCCTGTTCATATTATTTCATGATTAGGTAACAATTTGTTTAGAATTAACTCTTCAACCTCCCTTGAACCATCTCTTCTATGTGTTCTTCCACCTGAGGGGTGAATACATTCCATTAGGATTTCCAACCTACTGGTCAAAATTGAACTATGTGTCAGTTGTTATACAATTTGTAATTTAACCAACATATTGAAGCCATAGAAACTTCTTTCCAAGAATTTCTACCAGGGGTGTGCAACATTGAAATTCCAACTTGGCAGTAGTTATTTATTCAAAAATCGTAAATATCTGTATGTGCTAAGTCTCATGCCAAAAATTTGAACTAACTATAAACGCCTGGTACTAATTCTGTCTGTTATTTTGAATTTTGACCTTCCAGATGTTTGAAAATCATCAGAATACAAGTCTCATACTGAGCCGTTACTTGTTCCATTCAAACCATTACAAAAATGCGTCTCTGTTAGTACATTATTCTGTTATACAGAGTCCCTATTTCCAGCGGCATTTTGGTCCCCAGCTGTGAGAACAACTGGGGGCCTCTAACAACTGGGGGCCTCTAACAACTGGGGGCCGCTAATTAAACAAGGGACTCTTTACAATAAAACAATGCACTGACAGAAAGGCAATTTTGTTTTGCTTTGAATTAAAACAAGTCTGAAGAAAAATGGTGCAGAATGAGACTCGCAATCCTTGATTCTCAAACATCTGATTGGTCAAAAATTCAAATTAATGGTCTAAGTTAGTACCGAGTGATAAAATGGTGTAAATAAAAATTGTTGGCTCAGTGTCTACCAATAGAGACTAAAGTCAGGTATTAATTCGTTAAAAAACATTTACAATGCCCTTTATAGAATGGAATTTAGCAACACCCTAGAGTATTTGACTATAAAATGTCCTAAAGAAAAACCACAAAAAATGACTCTTGCACAAAAAGTTTTAAATTAATTCCAGATTATTCAAGTAGCTTTATGTTTCCTTTTACAGTATGTATGGAGCTAAAATCAAATCTAATAGATTCTTTCACACCAATTGAATAACATTTTGAAACTTCATATTTTCTCCCTTCAACCAAATAATGCGAAAACCCAACAAGGAAGTTAAATTCGTGAAAAATTATCTGATTGTTCAGATTTAGTTATCATATAGCCCTATTATATTTCTCAGTTCATCAATGAATACAGCACTATAAAAACTCCTTCAAGTATATAATCCTGTATATTGTTAAGAATTATTCCAAAAATCAAGATGTCAAATATATTGTGGATCGTGATAATGGCTGTGTTCTACATCAAGCTGACTATATGCTGTGAGAGTTTATCTGAATGTCCTCTGACTTGTTTTTGCTGTCACCAGGGATTGAAGCTGAATATGACTTGCCAACCAGGAACAGTTCAAACTATGGATTGGGTCGTTGGTAAAGATACACTTGTAGAAATATATTGGACATTTTCTGGACTTACATCGATCCCTGGAAATCTGAGTCAATTTGAATATGAAGCATGAAGATGCCTGACTCCTCCAAAACTCTTTAATATGACAATTCTTGAAGATGTTCCATTTGATGACTTAAGATGCAAAGTAAATATATCTTGCCCTAAAGGCTGTATTTGTTAGTATGTGCCATTCAGGGCTACAACAGTTGTAAATTGCACAGATCGTGGCATGGATAGTATGCCAGAGTCACTTCCACAAGGGGCTATAACATTGCATCTCTCTTGGAATAGAATCTTGGAACTCACAAACAAACCATACCTTTCCAGACTGTTTCAAAACTGTTTCTTCATAAAAACCAATTGAAATCTTTCCCAGATGTTTCTTTCTTGGACATTGCAATTGAGGAATTATCTCTCCATGAAAATCCATGGACATGTGACTGCAAACTTGTTTCATTTGGCACATGGCTGAAGCTTCTAGCATCGAGTGGTAGGCTTCTTGACAAGAATGTGGAATGCAAGGATCAGCAGGGCTCTGTACTCGATATAGCAAACTTTAACTTGATATGCCAGCAAGAGATCATAATTATTGCCGCAGTGACCTCATCGGTCATTATTTCTGCTATAATTTTGACCTTGTCTTGTATATGGATTCGCCACAAAACTGCAGTGAAAGTGTTTCTCTATACTCGCTTCAACTGGCATCCATTTGATCGCTATGATGAAGATGACCTTTGCAAAAAGTATGATGCATTTGTGTGCTACTCCAGTAGAAACCCAGATACCATAAAATGGATGAGGGAGACTCTGTTATATTGTCTGGAGCATAGTGACCCTCCATACATAACTTATGTACATCACAGAGATTTTCCGATAGGTAATATGATCGCAGATACAATAGCAGAGACTATTGAAAACAGCCGCCGCATCATTATCTTACTGAATAATGACTTTGCTAAAAGTCCATGGGGGAGATTAGAATTTCAACTCGCTCACAAGAAGGTTCTGGAAGATCGGCGTAATCGCCTTATTGTCATCAAGATGGAGGAAATCGAGGATGCAGAACTTGATGAAACTATCAGACATTTTATGAAGACAAGAACATATTTGGATGTTAATGATAAGAAATTCTGGGACAAACTTTTCTATGCTTTGCCTGAAAAACGAGCAAACAAAGATATGAAGGAAGATGTCAATGTCATCCAAAATGGTAATAATGTTTAACATGTGAATGTTGACATAAAACCAGATCATGATGTCATTCAAAATATTCCGAATCCTGGAAACTTTGATATTGTTGGCAATCAATTTCATGATATCCAATATGATGAACTGCCAGCTGATTTTAAAAGAATGCAAAACCATATACAAAATAGAAATGGATTTTCAACAAAATATCAATGCTCTTGGTTGGCTATTACTTATGGAGCAAACACTATATGCTTTAATATATATTTTATATTATATGTATTGTTTAAATTGTAAACCTAGAAATAGCTTTGATGTTTTACCTGACACCCATGTTTGTTTAAATTTTATATGAAAGATCCCAGCAATAGCAGGGCAGACAATGGATGCAGTATATATTCCTGTATGTCATGTATGTTATCTACTTTAAACCTCAGTAGGTATGGTAAACTCTGCATATATTCTAGGATAGTGGAAATATGACAACATAATTAGAATTTTGTATTAACCAGCCGATGGGCATAGATAGCGAAGATGTGCATGTTAAAATGTTTGTTCTTTTGTTTCACCAAATCCTTATAAATGAAATTCACAATAATGCATAGATGACACATAGGAAACATATTTCTCGTCAAAAAAGGTTTTGTTCAATATTTGTCATTAGATTTTTTTCTAAGTTTGAGTATTTCCAAGTTATACTGGTTACTAAGGTTGTAATCACGAATGCAACTTTCTACATTTGGCTACCTGATTAACCTTCTATTTTATAGGGAACTCATTTAAATGAGTAGTACCTATCACTATTTCATTCATATTTAAATGAGGCATAAAATAATAGGTTAATCCAGCAACCGAAAGTTGCATTCGCAAATACAAGCAAATTTAAGTTGTAAATGATTGTTATCAGTGTATTTGACTATGTCTATCATAGAACCTATGCAGTCATTATGATCTGCATCATAACTGAATCTTAACAACATGCAAGTACATGAATAAAATGTTCTTCTAAAGAAAATCTATAAATCATCGTAATAAAATTCATTATCAAAGTACATTCATCTATTCTAGTTCAAGGATCTAGGCTATATGAAAGGAGCCAATTCAAAAATGAATAAATGGATACTTTCACACAAATAAAATTTTGAGGAATCATGATTTTTTGTTTATTTAAACCATCCTTCAAATATACTTAAGTTGATTGGTACACACTAACTGAATTAATTGTGCTCTAAGTTTCAGGGGCATTGCACTTTCGTTCGATCTGTAACAAAATAAAAGTGTATGAACCCAATAAGGAAGTTAAATTCAAGATAAATTCTGGGATGATTCAGATAAAGTAAACATAATTGTCCAATTATATTGAGCAGCTCTTCAATGAATACAGCATTATTAACATTCCTTGAGGGATATATTTATATTGTTAAGAATTATTCCAATCATTAAGATGTCTCCTAAGTTATGGATAGTGATAGTGGCTGTGTTCTACATCAAGCTGACTATATGCTGTGAGAGTTTATCGGAATGTCCTCCGACTTGTTTTTGCTGTCACCAGGGATTGAAGCTGAATATGACTTGCCTACCAGGAACAGTTCAAACTATGGATTGGGTCGTCAGTAAAGATATACTTGTAGAAATATATTGGACATTTTCTGGACTCATATCGATCCCTGGAAATTTGAGTGAATTTGAATACTTAACCGATGTAGTGTTTGCATTCAATGCAATTCAGACTATACCAGTAGGGATATTTCAAGGAGCTGAGAAACTGGAGAATCTCATCTTGAGGAATAACAACATAACGAGACTTGAACATGGGTGTTTCAGTGGTCTTGTGGAACTTGAAGTTCTGGACTTAAGTAACAATTTGATATCTTACCTGTACATGCAGCCTGGGGTGTTCACTCGTAGTCAACTGCCAAAACTTCAACATATACTTCTACAGAACAACTATCTTGCAGTATTTGAACCTTGTCCCTTGTTGATGCCCTTACTTCAATCTGTTAATTTCTCAAGCAATAATATTGCAGAATTCTCAAATGAGATGAACTTTTCAATCCTACATCTAAGAGGAGCACCACCGGGGGCAGTTTTCATAGATTTTCAACATAACCAATTCAAGTCTATCAATGTTAGAATGTTTGTACAATATGGCATACAGGAAATAGACCAGTTATGGCACTTTTGGTCATACTCGTTTGACTATCGCAACAATCCCTTTCACTGTGATTGTCAGATTTACAAAATAGCTCGATTTGGCCGTGATGAATTTTTCAAGGAGGATGGCGGTTTTGAATTGGCATTGTTTCCTGGATTGACAAGACCTAAATGTCTGACTCCTCCAAAACTTTTTAATATGACAATCCTTGAAGATGTTGCATTTGATGATTTACGATGTGATGTAAATATATCTTGTCCCAAAGGTTGCAGTTGTGAGTATGTGCCTGTTAGGGCTACAACAGTTGTAAATTGCACTGATCGTGGCATGGAAAGCATGCCGGAGTCACTTCCGCAAGGGGCTATAACATTGCATCTTGCTTGGAATAGAATCTTAGAACTCACAAACAAACCATACCTTTCCAGACTGAAAGAGCTATACATGGACAACAATCGAATTACAGATGTTGAATTTGAAGCTATTAGATCTCTGAAAAATGCTTCAAAACTGTTTCTTCATAAAAACCAATTGAAATCTTTCCCAGATGTTTCTTTCTTGGACATTGCAATCGAGGAATTATCTCTCCATGAAAATCCATGGACATGTGACTGCAAACTTGTTTCATTTGGCACATGGCTGAAGCTTCTGGCATCAAGTGGTAGGCTTCTCGACAAAAATGTGGTAGGCTTCTCGACAAAAATGTGGAATGCAAGGATCGGCTGGGCTCTGTACTTGATATAGCAAACTTTAACTTGATATGCCAGCAAGAGATCATAATTATTGCTGCAGTGACCACATCGGTCATTATTTCTGCCATAATTTTGACCGCATCTTGTATATGGATTCGCCACAAAACTGCAGTGAAAGTGTTTCTCTATACTCGCTTCAACTGGCATCCATTTGATCGCTATGATGAAGATGACCTTTGCAAAAAGTATGATGCCTTTGTGTGCTACTCTAGTAGAAACCCAGACACCATAAAATGGATGAGGGAGACTCTGTTATATCGTTTGGAGAATAGTGACCCGCCATACATAACTTATGTACATCACAGAGATTTCCCAGTAGGTAACATGATCGCAGATACAATAGCAGAGACTATTGAAAACAGCCGTCGTATCATTATCCTACTCAATAATGACTTTGCTAAAAGTCCATGGGGGAGATTAGAATTTCAACTCGCTCATAAGAAGGTTCTGGAAGATCGACGTAATCGCCTTATTGTCATCAAGATGGAGGAAATCGAGGATGCAGAACTAGATGAAACTATCAGACATTTTATAAAGACAAGAACATATTTGGATGTTAATGATAAGAAATTCTGGGACAAACTTTTCTATGCTTTGCCTGAAAAACGAGCAAACAAAGATATGAAGGAAGACCAAAATAATGATAATGTTGAACATGCGAATGTTGACAAAGAACTAGAGCATGGTGTCATTCAAAATATTCCAAATCCTGGAAACTTCAATATTGTTGGCAATCAATTTCATGATATCCAATATGATCAACTGCCAGCTGATTTCAAAAGAATGCAAAACCATATACCAAATAGAAATCCTGTTGTTCCATTTAATCATGAAGTATTTTTTACTAGAGACATGGTGAAATTGAAGATAAATGAGAAATGGCTAGAAAAATTACCTGGAAATGGTTATAAAATACCAAGACCAATTTTTCAGTAGTAGAAACACTGAGATTAAAGTCATATTTACAAAACAAAATTTACAAATCAATAAAGTACAACATTTAAGAGATTCTCCTTTCATATTATAGTACTGTTATTGACTCAACAATATTGGGATTTTCAAAAAATCATTTACATTTTTATAACACGAATTCTTTATTTGTATATATTGAAAACTTTTAAATAGCTAAATAATAATTATGATTTTGATAAGTTCCTATGAACCTGAACATCTTTTAAACATTTTATATTTTTTGTCCTTTCCCGCACTTGTACATTCATATTCCTATTATTATCTGTTTAGTCTCAAATATATTTATTTACATCTAATTGTAATTGAAAGATGATGAAATGTAGAAGCATGATTGGTCAGTTGGTTATTGGAAATACTACAAACCTTCTGAAATCCTTTTTAGTTCTTCGTCAAGTTGACCTTGAACCTTTTTTGAGATACATTCAAGTAACTCTTCAAAATACTCAAGTTTTTGGCCCTTTCCTTTTGTCACTTGTATATACATATTCATGATATATATGGATATAATATTCTCCAATTGACTTTTAAATTCACCATTCCCTGACAATATATTTCTAAATCTATTTAGTAGAAACATTGAAATTCACCAACATAATACTTTTCCAAAAAGATGAATTTCATTTTCCAAAATATAGAACCAATTATTTAAAAAATAACTTTCATCCCCAATGTGAAATAATCTGGAATAGAACTGAAACTGACATCAAAAGTGTTGACACCATTGAAAAACTAAAACTTGTGCATTTCTACTATTATGAGTAAAATATTTATTGGTTTCAATTCAATAAACTCATAACTGTTTTTCCAAGTTAAACATATATGAGTCGATAACTCAATTGACTATCATCTCAATTGACTGTCATCATCATAGTTATGTTTCATATATGAAATAATGTATTTTATTCACCTATATAGATTTTGTATGACACTGGCACATTTAAATTTTCATTATAATTATTTTACTGTGTGACTATTATACACCCCATGTAATGTCCAGGTCACTGGCCATTTTATATAATGTTAGATTGAATTTTGATAAAATAAAAATGATTAGAAAAACATTTGAACTATTTGTATACAGGTTGTGCATCCATTCAGGTTTAGATATCCCAAACATATATTTACATACATGTATCTATATTCAGCTGAGATAATAAGTCTGGTTTACTTTTCAAAAGCCTCTGTCTCTTGTTTATTATCAATTAAAAATAATAGAGAAATTCATTTAAATCAGTATGAATGGAATTATTGTCCGGACCATCAAATTTTACCTTTAGAAAGAAACTTTCTGATCTTTGTCGGATCTGATCTTTGTTTATTAAAATAAATATCTGCCCTCTTGTTGGGCTTTAAGAGTCTGGAGCAAAAAAATGTATGCATGCTCATAGCTATATTTTATAAATTGTACAGAATAGAAATAACTTTGAAAATGGATATAATATATATTCCTGTATGACATAAGTATTTTAATGTAAACTAGCCCATAGTCATAGAGAGAATAACTATTATGTGTAAAACAGTTCATATTCACTGTTTTCTCAACGATAACATTCATGTTGATTCAATAAAGATACAAATTGCATATAATAAGTTCTCAAAATATTAATTTCATGTTCTCAACCCTGTATGCTCAGCTAACAGTATCTGATGTACATGTTTTATATTTCAATTATATATTTCTAGCATGATGTTGATGTAGACTCATCCCAGTTACCGACTGCAATACGTTGTTCTGCTGAGAGACTCAGGGACCATGGCGTGTATTTATTAGGTAAGTCATCTGCTCATATATTAATCTTAGCGACCATGATGTGTATTTATTAGGTAAGTCATCTGCTCATATATTAATCTTGGGGACCATGGTGTGTATTTATTAGGTAAGGCATCTGCTCGTATATTAATCTTGGGGACCATGGTGTGTATTTATTAGGTAAGGCATCTGCTCGTATATTAATCTTAGGGACCATGATGTGTATTTATTAGGTAAGACATCTGCTCATATATTAATCTTGGGAACCAATGGTGTATATTTATTAGGTAAGTCATCTGCTCATATATTAATCTTAGGGACCATGATGTGTATTTATTAGGTAAGTCATCTGCTCTTATATTAATCTAGGGGACCATGATGTGTATTTATTAGGTAAGTCATCTGCTCATATATTAATCTAGGGGACCATGATGTGTATTTATTAGGTAAGTCATCTGCTCATATATTAATCTTGGGAACCAATGGTGCATATTTATTAGGTAAGTCATCTGCTCATATATTAGTCTTGGGGACCAATGGTGTATATTTATTAGGTAAGTCATCTGCTCATATATTAATCTTAGGGACCATGATGTGTATTTATTAGGTAAGGCATCTGCTCGTATATTAATCTTGGGGACCATGGTGTGTATTTATTAGGTAAGTCATCTGCTCATATATTAATCTTGGGACCATGGCGTATATTTATTAGGTAAGTCATCTGCTCATATATTAATCTTGGGGACCATGATGTGTATTTATTTGGTAAGTCATCTGCTCATATATTAATCTTGGGGACCATGGTGTGTATTTATTAGGTAAGTCATCTGCTCGTATATTAATCTTGGGGACCATGGCGTGTATTTATTAGGTAATGCATCTGCTCATATATCAATCTTGGGGACCATGGGTTGTTTTTATTGTGTGTATTTATTAGGTAAGTCATCTGCTCATATATTAATCTAGGGGACCATGGCTTGTATTTATTAGGTAAAGCATCTGCTCATATATTAATCTTGGGAACCAATGGTGTATATTTATTAGGTAAGTCATCTGCTCATATATTAATCTTGGGGACCAATGGTGTATATTTATTAGGTAAGTCATCTGCTCATATATTAATCTTAGGGACCATGATGTGTATTTATTAGGTAAGGCATTTGCTCGTATATTAATCTTGGGGACCATGGCGTGTATTTATTAGGTAATGCATCTGCTCATATATCAATCTTGGGGACCATGGATTGTTTTTATGGCGTGTATTTATTAGGTAAGTCATCTGCTCATATATTAATCTAGGGGACCATATCTTGTATTTATTAGGTAAAGCATCTGCTTATAAATGTATATTAATCTTGGGGACCCAGTGATCTCCCTAGCATTAAAGCAAGTGGGCGCAGCACCCACCTGAAATTTTGAAAATAGGCTTGCACCCACCTGAAAATCCATTTGCACCCACTTGAAAATGAGAAAAATCATGAAAAATTGGCATATTTTGACCAATTTTGGTCTGAATTGTGAATATGAGAATTTTGCACACACTTGAGAAAAAATCCTGTGGAGATCTCTGGGACCATTGTGTGTATTTATTAGGTAAAGCATCTGCTCATATGTCTAGCCACCATAGACTCTCCATTTAATAGTACCCGTATACAATTTTGTAATACTTTTTTAAGCATTTTCAAAAAGACTGCACTTCTGATAAATACTTATTATTTGGTTTAGGGATGGTCTGCAGTAGACATTTTGATTTATATCTCATATATGTAGAATTTAGTGCAAAAACAACCCCTGACAATATACGTACGTGTCCACAGAAGTTATGATCATATTGATGATATTTACAGTTGGTGTGTGAAACTTATTTTGAGCTATTTTCTAGACCAAGTGGTATGACAGCAATTTATGCTTTAATGTGAACAAACCATTGCTTTAATTTTACATGTGTTCTGTTTCCAGAAAATGGAGTCTCCATGTTCCTTTGGGTTGGTATGAATGCAGCTCCAGACTGGGTACAGAATGTGTTTGGGGTACAATCCGTTGCCCAGATTGACATAGACAAGGTAGCAATAGCTGTACACAGATAAAGGAATGGGTCCTTGTGTTTAAAAAGGCATTCATATTCTGAAATATTTTCTGAATCCCTCTTGTTTATATTTATGACCATAGATGAAATTGATAGAACCCCCGTTCTCCAAAATATTCTAGAATTACAATTCCAAAAATTTATTTTTCTTTCTGGAAATCACCAGAGCAACATTTACCAGTCGTTTGATATACATTCAGTTAAAATTGCAATATAAAATTTAATTACCATGATTATGTGAAATATATAGTTCTAATACTTGATTATGGTCATATACAGTATTGCAATAATTATTAGAACAAGGCCAATGAGATTCTGTTGAAGGTTATATATGGCCAGCGGTTTTGATCTGAAACTTTGTGGTTACTTTAAAAACATTGGGTCAGTGAATGCTGTCTAAATATGAGGACCACTTTTCTTTCCCTGCTGCCCCATTCCTACATATTGTTTGATTTGAATTCTTTTTTAATCCATACTAAGTTTCGTAGTAGTGTTTTAACCAGGATCTTCACCCCATGTACTTTATTCAGAAATCCTTCTAGGTTAGCGTAGCTTAATCTAAATCTTTAGAATCCAACATTTAGTAACCAATGGTATTCAAATTATGATTATTTAGATATGTACCATCCCCAAGACCTTTAAATAACACATTAATCGCATTTTCTGAATTAATATTTATTATTGCTAACTAGCAATCCAAATTCTATTAACGATTTTTCTATTAACATACATATATTCAACCCTCCTATATTTTCAGTTCGAAAAATTATTCAGGGATCATAAGGTTAGAATAATATGTAGCAGTTGATTCGAATATTTTTATTCTGTTTTTAAATAAGGTGAAGGTCGAGTTGGTATATGGTAGATTATGTTTTTTATAATTATTTGCACCAAAACTGGAGCACTCGCATATGCAAACTAAGGACTGATAAATATAAACTGATTTAAATTCCTATAAAATATAAGAGCATTTCACGCAATTGAATAGTTGAGAAAACTTGAAATTTTATGTTTTGTAAGGTCATTACTGGCTGACATACTCTCTGTTGATGGTTATTTTGTGAGAGGATTTTGAGATCATAAATGAGTTTTAATTGTCCTTGTTTGCATATCACACTTCTTGATATAGATCACATTTCTTCTATTATTTCTCTATCCCATTGAAATATATGTAGATTTCTTAACTTTGGAAATAATAATTTTGCATAGTTTTTGTTGAGTTTTTATGTCACCCCAGAAGTGGTGTTACTATGGTTCCAATGGATTTAAGAATTTCTTAGTTGTAATATTGTAGTATTTCAAGATTTAGACCTTTGTCATACTGGTTAAGTAGATTCAGTATTATTAGTATTCTAGGTTTTTTCTACAGAGCAACCCTTTATTCTAACTTAATTTCTCTCAGAATTTCCATGCTACCTTCAACATTTCATTCATATCTTTCTAATTTCTCCCTAATTCTATCAAAATTTATCAATATCATATTGAAAGGTATATCTGTTTTTATAGATATATAAATGGCGGGGTCAATTTGAGTAAGGGATGAGTTGACCAAGGGTTGAGATGACTTAGAGTCGAGTTTAATAGGGGTTGAGTTGACTTGGGGTTGAGTTGACTTAGGGTTGAGTTGATTTGGGTTGAGTTGACCAGTTACCAATTGATATAGTTGTTTCCTAGTTAAAAATATTCGGAGAAGGGTACCCCTGGCTAGTTTAATTGAACCTTTATAAGTTATTATGTCACCACCAAAAGTGGTGACATATTGTTATGGTCTCCGTTTTTTTGCGACGGCGGTTGGTGGTTGGAGGTTGGCGTCCGGCGTCTGTAACAATTTCTTACAACTTCCTATAACTTAACAAATACTGTTTAGACTGACTTCAATTTTTTTCTAAATCATCTACATGTTCTCAGAAGTTCAAATCTGACTTTAGATTTGACATTTGACCTTCAATGACCTTCTCAAGGTCAAAAAGGTCTTTTTTCAACTTGCTTCACATTGACTAAATTTTTTTTCAAAATCATCTACATGTTCTCAGAAATTCAAATCTGACTTTAGATTTGACATTTGACCTTCAAATCTGACTTTAGATTTGACATTTGACCTTCAATGACCTTCTCAAGGTCAAAAAAGGTCAAAAAGGTCTGTTTTCAACTTGCTTCAAATTGACTAAATTTTTTTTTCAAAATCATCTACGTGTTCTCAGAAATTCAAATCTTGACTTAAGATTTGACATTTGACCTTCTCAAGGTCAAAAAGGTCTGTTTTCAACTTGCTTCAAATTGACTAAAAAAAATTTTCAAAATCATCTACGTGTTCTCAGAAATTCAAATCTGACTTTAGATTTGACATTTGACCTTCAATGACCTTTTTTCAAAAAAGGTCAAAAAGGTCTTTTTTCAACTTGCTTCAAATTGACTAAATTTTTTTTTCAAAATCATCAACATGTTCTCAGAAATTCAAATCTGACTTTAGATTTGACATTTGACCTTCAATGACCTTCTCAAAGTCAAAAAAGGTCAAAAAGGTCTTTTTTCAACTTGCTTCAAATTGACTAAATTCTTTTTTCAAAATCATCTACATGTTTTCAGAAATTCAAATCTGACTTTAGATTTGACATTTGACCTTCAATGACCTTCTCAATGTCAAAAAGGGTCAAAAAGGTATTTTTTCATCTTGCTTCAAATTGACTAAAAAATTTTTTCAGAATCATCTACATGTTCTCAGAAATTCAAATATGACTTTAGATTTGACCTTTGACCTTCAATGACCTTCAATGACCTTCTCAAGGTCAAAAAGGTCTTTTTCAACTTGCTTCAAATTGACTAATTTTTTTTTCAAAATCATCTACATGTTCTCAGAAATTCAAATCTGACTTTAGATTTGACATTTGACCTTTAATGACCTTCTCAAGGTCAAAAAAGGTCAAAAAGGTCTGTTTTCAACTTGCTTCAAATTGACCAAATTTTTTTTTCAAAATCATCTACATCTTTTCAAAAGTTCAAATTTGACTTTACAAGTTCTCAGAAGTTCAAATCTGACTTTAGATTTGACCTTTGACCTTCAATGCCCTTCTCAAGGTCAAAAGGTATTTTCCAACTTGCTTTAAATTGACCAAATTGTTTTAGGTGGTGACATTTTGTCATGTTAATGCCTTGTATATATTACTTGTAGGCTTCCACAATTCCATTCTGATATCAAAAGATAAGTTCTCTCTGTATACTTTTAAAGTAATACAGACCCTTCTTTTATATAATTCCCGCAGACCTAAAGAAGATTTATGAACTGTAAGGTATAGAAACATATCAATGCAAGTTCTTACTAATTTAAAGTCTTGTTTAGCACTTATACATACCCTCCCAAAAAAGGTAAACAGTCAAATAACATCTTGTGGTTTAACCACTCCGTTATTCATATATTTAGGATTGAAAATCTCATTGCTTTTATCTTTTTTCCAGACACAAATATTAGATCTCGATACTCCACTTTCACAGAGGATACGAGGAATTATCAAAAAAATTAGAGATCAACGACAACGGCATATGAAAGTGAGTCTAACATGAATCATCTTGTAATGGGATACGTTTTGAAAGATATGTTTACTCCTTAGATCCCAAACTATTATTTTCATTTAAGTGGAAAATTTGTAAAAAGATTTTTATTAAATAATTGTAAGCAGATTCATTTTTTCAAGATCTCTGGTCTTGATGATTTCTGTTGATGATTCCAAATTCAATTCATGATCATGACACATTGTTTAAAAATCTTAATTTAAATGCTTCTCGTCTATTTGCAGTTGACAATAGTTAGACAAAGAGACAAACTAGACCCATGGTTCCATCATTTCTTAGTAGAAGACAAAGGTACCAATGGTACAGCTTCCTATGTAGACTTTTTATGCCACATACATAAAGAGATTCGCAATATTTTAAATTAGGACCCCTTAGGATGTGCAGTATTATTATCAAGTTGGTGTTAGTCGATTGTAAATGGCAAAACTGTGTGGATTAACCTTTATGCTAATGAACTATCAAAAATTACTAAAATGCAAACAGAAACTGAGCTGAAGTATAGCACTCGTAAGCACTCGTAAGCACTCGTGTTTTTTATTGCTCTGTGCTGTTCCAGCAGTCATTTTGAAACTTGGTGGCATTTGACCTCTGTAATGATTTTATATGTGTTTACCCAACAGTATAACCATATAGCATATCAATGGGCTATCTTTGGTCCTTTTGTCTAAGATGACATCTTGGCAGGTGATTCTTTATTGAATCTTTTAGCTCTGAGTTTTGAGAGGCCATTACTCAAAGAAAATATTGTGAAGTACCATCACTTTTCATTCAGTATTTATAAAAGAGTCAAGGAATAAAACTACAGGGTGTCCGATATACAGGATTTCAAATCTACTTGTCAAAATTGAATTATAGACCAAATGTCATTCTTACCTCATATTTTCTATACTACAGTACACTTGCTAACTTTACAAACAGTTCTGTATTAATTAAACCATGGATCAATGCTTATGTTGCACAATTTACAACATGAGCTAATGAAACTCTTGTCAGTGTCACTTGGTATACAATATAGTCTGAACAACTGAATGACAACTTCTCAGAAGTATTTGCAGTGAATTAATTTGCAACCGAGGTTTGCATAATGTGCCAACTATGACAAGTCATCTTGATCTTAGACTATTGCGGAAGTTCCTGTGACCATTTGGCTGCTTTCTCCAAATTGTGTTTTGTTAGTTTATGTAAACTAGTCCATACTGGAATATACAGCATCATACCAAAGAGGATTGGCTCCCAGGGATGCGAATTGATATTTCCAGCAATGAAAATGTCATAATGTCGTTATTTTGTCTGACGACATTAAACTGGTTATAGATTCATAATCAGCAATCCAAAAGATTCGAGCTACATGTGTTTTGAAGAAAAAAACTATCGATTCAAAATTTGAAGTGAAAATCACGACATCCTCAAATATCGGATTCATTGTTGGAAAATATCAAGATTGCATTGTGGGAGCCAATCCTCCTTGGCATCATACACTGGTGTGCCATGAGGATTTCAAACCCATTGGTCAAAATTAAATTATGGGTGAGTTGTAATGTTACTTCCCTGTATAAGCTGAAATAACCAACTGCTAAGGTTATAATGCTAACTGGCCTGTGGGTTGGGCCTTATGTCCCACCCTGTATAGCGTCATTTAATATTGTACTGTTGAGTATAATATGGTACAAATATTAGTATTGTGCAATATTATATGTAATAGTATAGTAAAGACATGTATAGTACTGTATGTTATGATATGGCACGTTTAGTTTTGGTAAAGTGTACAATACCGTGCTAAATATGAGAAACCAATCTTGCTTATAGTAACTATGGAATCACGGTTTTCTGGTGTCAAATAGTAAGTCATAATTTTATTGCCATAAAAATGCAAACTATTTATTGGTATTCATATTTCACTTTCATTTTTCAAACGCTTATTGTCAGATTTCGTCAGATTTCTTTGAAGCCAATAAACCATGATCACCATCATATTATCTCAAATGGAAGTGACTATATGTTGTTATGATAATTATATTGTATTTTGTTGAATGCTAGGGATTCTATGTTCCTCTCCATTACTATTTGTAAATAAATAAATTATTTGTAAAGGAAGTTGTTTGATTTTTGCACATGCCAAAGCTTAACGAGGTTAGTGATTTTCATGAAATTCTGTTGCTATTAAATAGTACTGGATCCTATTCTATTATTAGTATGTATATTTATGGAAAAAGCTCTAACATGACTATGGATGATCTGTTGTTATGTCACCACCACAAGTGGTGACCTATTGTTATAGTCTCCAACTTTTTTGTGGCAGAGGTTGGTGTTTTGTGTCTGTTACATGGTGTCTGTAATAAATGGCAGGTGGTGAGATTTTGTATGTTGATGCTTTGTTTATTATTTTTTATTTGCAATAGTGATTGATGAGATCACTTCAAGTTGATGGAGTGTTTCCCCATGAATCCTTACTATAGACTTTTATAAGTTGTTCTTTTTATATAATGATGTCTGTGGATTTAACAACATCAAGAAAAATAACTTTATGAGAAAGCTTTTGGTATCAATTCAGGCCAGGCCAACCGTCCCCTGGACCATCTCTTACTTTAGAGGTATACAGTTCAGGATCTGAGACCAAAATTTGACATTTTTTGTTTCAGATACAATCTTTTGATATATCCTGTATAATAGTCAAATCAAATTTTCTGGTAGTTTCAGCGTCACTGGTCAGTGTTTAACCGAATACATTCAAGAAATGTTTGTGAAAATTCTGCATCTTTGCAAAACAGAAAGAACAACCGGATTGTTAATTTGAGTCAAAACATATCCCTGGTGACAAATTAAAAGAAACATGAAAAAATAATTTTTTTGTGTGAACCTTTTTTTGAGGTTGGGTTCGTTACTTGATTGGCATTGTATATGTTTCAATGGTGCAGGACAATTTGTTAAAAAACTCAACCTACAAATAAAATGCTTCCTTGGTCATGTTTTTTCACATCATTTCTCAAAAAAGAATTTGAATTTTGGAAGTATAAACATTTTTGTGTTCACTCTCTATATTACATGCTTAACTTTTTCTGTTGAACTCTAATTTTACACAAAACATTTGAAATCACATGACTACAACGGTATTTTATTGCTAGGTTTAATTGCATGTCTGTATGTGCTGTAAATTGTAATGTACATGAACTGTACAAGTTATCCACTAAAGCTTGTATATTGAAAATATAAAATGTAATAAAATTATTTAATATATAAAGCAATGTTAACATTGACATGTTTTATTAAGGATTTATTCTGGAATTTCAAAGACACCCAAAAGGCAAAAGTTCATATCCAAAGTACACTGAGGATTGTTTTTGGAATTCATCATGCTTATTTGTAATAACATTTGAAGATACTTTCAATTGGTATATTTTCCCATTATAGGATTTATACAACAGGAAAAGCCAGTGAAACCCAGAATCACTTTGAATATTCAAGGGAAAAAACAGTTTCCAACACCAAAAATGTGCCATTCAACTTGTTAGAAGCAAAGGGGAATTGTTATTAGTCTCGCTTAAAACTACCAGTTCAATGCGTTCAATAAGTATTGCTTTAACTTTTGTTCTCTTGCGTTTTCCTTTATGAAAATTTCACAAACTTGACAAAGGTTACCATAGTAACCATAATTTTGTCAAAACTAAATTGACTGTCAAGAAATTTTATGTTGTGAAAGTATCATGAATTGAAAACAAAAAGAACAAAAGTATAGCAAAATTAGCAATTATTATTGAACACCCTGTATATTGTATTTAGAACTCTGTTTATGATGTGGCGACACTTTCGCAAAACTAAATTCCCTCCTCTCAAAGGTCAACTTAAAGGACTTAGTTGAAACCAAAATGGAGCACCAACTGAACTTAACTGAACAACAATTGAACCAACAGAATCCACCTAGTTGGTTAATCTATAGAGATCTATAGAATGGAATTCATGGGATATCAGAATCAATGACATGTTGACTTTTGAAATCAATGTCCAGATTAAAGCACTTCAACTTTTGTGTTCAACATACCTAATGAAATTATTTGATTCTTACAATTCAAAAGAAATAAATTACTTATTGAATTTTCAATTTATGAATTAAACTTAAATGAGATCTGGGGTATACTGGAGTAGAGAGAGCCAGCTACACGCTCTATTATCATTAACTGTCACATTTCCCTAATGATGGTCACATTTTCAAGTTCAACTCTCATATAGCAGTATAAGAAGGAACATATGAACAAAAAATGAAATGAGATATCTGATAAATATAAAAGATTTTTGATACAGAAATGTCCAAATTCATTGAAATGGAAAGAAGTATATACACATTTGAGTATTTGACAGATAATCACTCGATTAATGATTATCAAAGCATCATCAGCATAACAAATGTATCTGCCCCCCCCCTCCCTTCCCCTCACCATGCTCACACAAATGGATAGTTATCAATATTACCTTGTCTGTATTTTATTTATGTGTCAATTAATTCATTTTATTGTCTGAATGGTAAAACATAGCATGATCTGTTGAATTAAAAAGGCATAAAAATCTAAACAAAATATCAATAAGACACGGTTTGTTTACATTGTGGGTGTTTGTGTTTGTTACATGGGGCCTTTCACAGGTGCTTTGAATTGTGGGATATGAAGAATTCGCCATTTTGTTTGTTTGCAAAAATTGAAAGTTGAAGGAATTGCTGTATTTTCATATTAATAGATATTGGAGGTTAGACTCACATTTCCGTGTTCAAACATTATATATTTATGAACATTTAAATCCAACTGTAAACCGAAGAAGCGATGGGGTAAGGCTGTAAACTCTGTTTGAAATTTGCACCTCTCTTCGTCGCCAGGGAAGCTTTTCGAGCAACCACGTTCACATTTTGCTCAAATTTCTGCGGAGAAAATGACTCGAATATGGACAATTAACAGAACATAGCATTTGTATTATGAGTGGAAGATATACAAGACAGCCTGTACCATTAGAAGTGTAAGTATTTTCACCACTCATTTATTCTTTTCCAAAGGAATTTGTTCAAAAATTTATGAACCATTGAACATTCTGTGAGACCCTATCTGTTGCAAGACTAACGCCTGGCGTAACCGCCACCATGTTATTCAGTGTTTTTTAAGTAGCGCAAGGATCCTGCCATGACCGTGGTAATGTTATCGTGAAAGCCTGGTATAACCGAGACACTGCTGAAGACACTGTAGAAATTTATGATTGCTATAATTGACCGTGACAATGTGTATTTGAAAACCTGGCATGACCATGACAATGTATTATGGGATCGCAAAGCCTGGTATGACCGTGACAATGTAATATAGTATTGCAAGGCCAGGTATGAGGGTGGTAATGTAGAGATTTAGGCTTAGTTCTACTATGACCGTTATAATGTATTGCAATGACTAGTAAATATGTATGACATTAATGCCAGGAATATCCTTAACAATTTTAAGTGATCCTCATTACAATTAATTAGTTTAATACTATGATCATGGTGTTTCACTACCTTAATCATGTCAAAATCAAAATTACTTCTATACATTAATATTCACATTCGCTTATAAACCACAATAAAGGCTACGGTCGCGCCAGGCTTCCACGATAACACTTCCAGGGTCATGACAGGCCTTGCATTAGAATACAGCATTGTCACGGTTATACCAGCCTGTCACGGTTATACCAGGCTTACATGATAACACTACCAGGGTCATGGCAGGATCCTTGCGCTACTTAAAAAACACTGATTAACATGGTGACGGTTGTGGCAGGCGTAAGTCTTGCAATAGATAGCATGTGCATTCTGTAGAACTCATTTTTTGACAGTTGAAACAGAGATTTGGATCACTCAATATGAGAAGTGCCGTTCACTCAGGACACTTTACCATATTATTAGATCCTAATGAGTGAGGCGTATAGTTGGCATCTAAAGTCAGACTGGTAGATTGTCAATCAAATGCTCTCTGCGACATCCATTGACACAATGTAACCAGGAGGAACTCAGAGCATAATAAGTTATTTGTGCTTGAGTTATTTCCTTGTAGATTAGAATTTTGCCTGCATTTATGGTCCATTTTAATAAAGTTTTACATCCTATATTCAAGTTTTCTTTTTTTTATCAACATCCGGCTTTCAATTTAGGTCTCATGCCCCTCGTGATTTTGCCTATATTTTAAATGGCTGGAAACGTGACAAGTGAAGAATAACAATGGAAATTGCGGTTTGCTTTATTTCCATGCCTTTATATTAGTTTGCCAAAGTCTGATACTTAACATATAGTTTGATTGCAAGTTAAATATAAATCATACCACTGTGATCATTGCTAATTACAAGCCTAGACATTAAAATTCAGATGGATTTCCTTCAATGTTCTCTCCATTTTTTGAATATTTCTAGACTCAACAATATTGGTGTTATCCTTGATTGGGAGGGCTGACATTCTAACATCTAAATCACGTTTGATGCCAGCTCTACCCCTTCACTCCTCATGATTCATTATAAGACATGCTGATAATCTGATATGATGGTAATGCTGATAATCACCATAAGAATTGTTATTTTTGTACCAGTTAGATATTAATTGAAGTCAGATGTGATCTAAAAAATGCTGCTGTGGGATAGGAGGAAAATCTTCAGTCTAGGGACTATATTTTCTTCTGGCTATTTAGGAATTGAAAACTTAACATCAAGAATTACAGTATATCTGGAACATTATACATGTGAAATATATCCATATTTAGTCTGATGTATTGTAACTTGATGTTATATCTCTTATCTTGGTACATAGGGCCTTTAAGGGTTAAAGGGCCATATAAAGGATATTCCTCATGTGTCAGTTAATCCTTAGAAAGGATTTTTACTGCATTGTAAAATTTGAATAACAAATTGCAGATTTTTTTAAATCTAATTTAATGAATTTACTGTAAATGGTAAAGAATGTATGAGGTATAATAGAGGTTTTCTCTTAAAGGTTCTCTTGAAAGCCAATAGATGTAATCGTGACTAAATGATCTCTACTGCTTTGCTGTGTTGATCAAATCCAAGAAAATTATATGCATTCGAAGGACAGTAAAATATTAAGAAATTTTTGCCAGAGCAGTATTTAGAACGATTATAAAAATCCTGGACAGTTTGAGTCAATATAATAAATAATCAAGAATAGCTATACCTTCAGACTAATGTCCCGTATACAAGTTTAAGTCATATGTGAATATTGATAAGTTTTTGAAAGGTAACGCTTGGCTTATTTGACATTAGCTGTCTAATAATGACTGAGACGAGGTAAACCTTTTATTCATACATTTTCTTATGAACGAGAAGTAAAGATGTTCCCCCAATATATAAAAAAACTAATTTCTTATTCATATTCAAGTCAACCTATTTGAAAAATGTTTTCTGTCACTATATGAACAATCATGGACTTTTTGAGTTATGAAAAGTTACCTTGACTCCTATTAGTATTTAAGTGCTGCCAAAATACGATCAAGGACTTCCTATAGAACTTTTCTTGACTGTTTATACACATTGTATTTGCTGAACAAACATATTATGAAACTTTAAAGTTTGTATTTGAAATCGATTGAATGCTTTGGATCAATATTTTTTTGAGAGATTGTATGGGTAAGAGCAAAATTTAGTGATTTTTGCTCTCAATAGAGTCATGCATTCTCTAATATTACAACAATAGGGTAAAATATATCAAATAAATGCTATAAATGTTTCATTTTATTTTGCTTTTATAGATGGATGAGAGGATAAAGATTTTGTAGCATGCTTTTAATCCTTCAGTTCTGAATCAGTTTATTTAAAAAATGCAAAACTTTGTGACAAAGAATTTCATCCTGCTTGCAGCGAGAAGACGGACCGGTTCGGGGCAATCTGCTTGAAGCGAGAAGACGGACCGGTTCGGGGCAATAGCTGATGAAATTCTTTGTCACAAAGTTTGGCATTTTTTATAAAATCAAACGCGCATCATTGAAACTCACAAGATGTAAATAGCATGTCATTTACATCATACCTTGATGGGGAAAAATAGATCTAATGTTAGAAGTATTAAATAAAAGTTATCATGAAAATGAGACAGTCGTTCTCAAGAGAAAAGAGCATAAATGCGCATTTAGAGAGTTTTGGTCCGTTTAAAAATCTGTAAAAAACTGGGGTACTTAAAAGCATCGGGAGGCATCATATATTTCAAATTAGACACGAGGAAGTCAATATTGAGCAAGTTATGGCTGTTTTAAATTCAAATAAAACCGTTAACCCTTACCGGTCCAGCTTTTGACCTGTACCGGTCAATTTTCGTTAGCTGCGTATACCAAGGGTGTATATATCATGTTTTCTTTAGCGAACTTTAGTGAAGATTTACATAGAAACATGAGAGTGGTTATTTTTGTACTCTAACTGGTTAAAGTTTTTACTTTACATGATAATTCATTAAAACACACCTATTTTTAATATCTGATTTTAAATATTAAGAATCATAATTCTGATTTACAATGTGAATGGACTGCTTAGAAATATGAAATCAAATCAAATAAATGTTTTAAAAATAGCATGAAATTTCCTATTCAATGAAAGTGCCAAAAAGTATTTTAATTTTGAATGGAAATCCAATTAGGATTAAATTTCAAATGCTGATAGGATAATTGTCATGATTTTTAAAAGAAATTAGGTTTGACAATACATATTACATATGTTCAATTTATCAGAACTCATTGCACTAGCCATTTATAGATCTCCAACCATTGTAATTTTGTACATTTGGAAACCATATGCTTTTTTCAAAAGAAGTTAATCTAATCCAAATTTTACTCATATAGGCTTTAGTCACTAATCTTATGATTGGGTCCTTTAGATCAGAAAATACTATACAAACTGCTTAATACACATTTAGGAATCTTGGATTTCATTCAATATTCTAAATTAATGTTATGATGATCTTCTAGTAAATATTTCAAAATCAAGTTAAATGTATAAAAGGGTCAAAAGTTGAAATCCTTATTCTGAATAATCTGAAAATATTTTCATTCATAAATAATATGTATATATGTACACAAAACCTGGAGCTTTTTAATGCCGCCACCACCACCACAAGTGGTAACATTGTTATAGTCTCCAACTTATTTGTGCCGGTGGTTAGTGGTTGATGTTTGGAGTTAAGCATTCAATGTCTGTATAAATGGCAGGTTGTGACATTTTGCATGTCAATGCCTTGTTAGATGAAAATATCAATCAAAGCTTGACAAAAAGTCATCACTTAAGGAAGCAGTGTGATTGTTAAATCATTGACATGAAGTTTCTTTAAGTTTCTTTAAGTTTTTTTAAGTTTCTTTAAGTATTATAAGGAGTTAAATCACACGTAATCTAAGTTGAAATTAAAAAAGTATTAACTTGACTTGTCCTTAAAGTCTTAGGAAGAATCGTTATTTCATATAAATTCAAAAATTTGGTTTATAGCATTTACTCTCCCATTTTAGGGTAAATGTTCAGTGTACATGGGGTAAATTGTTTATTGGAAGGTGTGGCCCTTCAAAGTTCAAGGTCAGTGTAGCTCAAGGTCAATGCGTCATATGATATTTTATACAATATCATAATGCTTTTGTTTTCAATTGATTATTTCCCCAACATCGATTCTTACTTTCTGTACAAAGCAGTTTTCGTTATATTGTTCATCGAAAATAAGTATTAAATGTAATAACAATTAATGATCCTTTCACTATAAGTTCAAATGAGGTGAATGTTTTATTATCATTTATTTCTGCAACTTGTTATTTTGACTTCAATTCCCATTGGTATGAATTCTATGGAACAAAAACTCAATATATTGATTCATTTTACTGAGTACTTCTGTGTCTATATAGTGATGACATCTAGGAATGTAAAATGTTATTAAATCAATGCTACCCTTCATAAGATCTCGATAGTATCTGCCCTCTTTAAATAAAAACAATTTTTTCAATTAAAGACATCTATTCAATGTCCAAGCA